TGAAATGTAGTCATTGAGAGTAAATTAAAAGTATAACAAAGCAAAAGAGAAAGGATCATTTCTTCTTTATAAAAATGGTATTAAGAAGGTTTAGCAGCTTATCCATTTGTATTTTTGTATATTGCTCTCACATACCTCTCTAACAATAAACGCAAATGAATCCCACTGTTAAACTCCTTCTAGTGAGATGGAGAGCTTTGTCACCCCTAACACTTTCTGAGAGGCTGGAGAAACAAGAATGAAGCGTGCCTTGCCTGAGCAGCTCCTACACTTAATTTAATTTCACTACTTCTTAGAGCAGTGTGAGAGTTATGTCAAAATTTGTTGATGTTATTTTATAAACTCGCCAATATATCTCCTCTTTAGGAATTTCCTTTGATGTCACATTTAACTGTGCCTATTACATTTTAATACAAATTGTGGGAGCTATTCAGAGTTTCTGTATGTCTGCATGGAGTAATAGGAACAGGCTCAGGGAAGGACCGCAAAGATGATCAAAGAGCTGAAGCACCTCTCATGAAAAAAGAGAGGATGAGTTAGGCTTCTTCAGCCTGGAGAAGACAAGGATCCAGGAAGACCCCACTGAAACCTTCCAGAACTTCAAAGGAGCTTATAGGCAGGAGGGAGACTGTCTTTTTGCATGGTCTGATAATGACAGGACAAGAGGAAGAGCTTTAATCTAAGAGATGAGATTTAAGTGAGATGTCAGGGAGAAATTTTTTTTCACTGAGAGGGAAGAGAGACTCTGGCCCAGGCTGCCCAGAGAAGCTGTGGGCAAGAAAAATTTTTCTTCCCCCCTAAAATTTATATCATAAGTAAAGCAGGCTGTAACTAATATAACCTTGTTTTCAGTTAGATTACCACACCACTATTCATAAATGACAGCTGGAGATGCTCAGATGACAAATGAAATTACATTATTTCAGAAGACTTCTGAAACAGTGGATAGTCTATATGCCTAATCACTTAAATTTACAGCAACGTAAGAAAAAACAAAACATATTAAATCATCCTAACTAGCATGGATTAAAACTAGGAAAGAAAACAACAATAAAGATCAATTATAATTCAGTAGGAAATGAAGTACTAAAAGAGACACAGAATCCTGATTTTGATAGTTTGGAGGGATAAGGTTTATTTAGGATTTTAGAGAGTTAGTATTTCACTAGCCTGGAAGGACATAATTGGCTTTTCTGCTGCAGTACTTTCTAGTACAGTAAAGAATAAAGAATCAGTTTGTACAGCAGGACTATCACCAGATAAATCCCACGCAATAAGCAGAAACAGAGCTGCCAAGTTCCAGGTTACGGCTTATATCAATATGGCTGAATTTTAGACCTTACACATAATTATGTACTTTTATCTACCAAGATGAAAGGGGAAGGGGGAAAAAAGTTAACTACAACTACACTGCAGGTTAGAAACATACATTGCAACTCATAGAATCACAGAATGGTTTGGTTTAAGAGGGACGTGAAAGACCACCCAGATTCCAACCCCCTGCCACGGCATTTAAGTTAAACAGTTTTGGACAAATAAAACTACTGAAGCAAGCCCAGAGGAGGGCCACAAAGATGATCAAAGGGCTGGAGCACCACTCCTATGTAGAAAGGTTAAGGGAGCTGGGCTTGTTTAGCTTGGAGAAGTCTACAGGGAGGCCTCATTGAGGCCTTCCAGTACTTAAAAAAGAACTTATAGGCAGGAGGGAGACCAAGTTTTTACAATAGGACAAGCTTTAACCTAAAAGAGATGAGATTTAGGTTAGATGTCAGGGGGAAATTTTTCACTTCCAGTGTAGTGAGACCCTGGCCCAGGCTGCCCAGAGAAGCTGTGGTGCCCCATCCTTGGAGGCGCTCAAGGCCAGGTTGGATGGGGCCCTGGGCAGCCTGAGCTGGTGGGGGGACAGCCCTGTCTACAGCAGGGTTTGGGTTGGGTGGGCTTTGAGGTCCCTCTAACTGAAATATGATCCATCATATTAAGTCGCTCCCCATCATATTTGAAAAGTCGTGGCTGTCAGGTGAGGCCCCAGATGACCGGGGGAAGGGTCACATCACTCCCCTTTAAAAGAAAGGGAGCAAGGAGGACCCAGGGAACTACATGCTGGTGAGTCTCACCTCTGTGCCTGGGAAGATCATGGAACAGATTCTCCTGGACAACATGCTTGATCACATGAGGAATGAATGTGTGATCCGAGACAACTAGCAGTTTCACCAGGGGAAGGTCATGTTTAACCAATCTGGTGGCCTTCTATGATGGAGTGACAGCATCAGTGGACATAGGAAAGACAACCAATATCATGAACCTGGACTTGAGCAAAGCCTTTTACATGGTACCCCACCACATCCTTATCTCCAAATAGGAGGAATATGGATTTGATGGGTGGACCACTCAATGGATAAGAAATTGGTTGACAGGCTGCAGACAGAACCATTAATCACCACCCTCTATGTCCAGGTGGAGGCCAGTAACAAGCAGCATCCCCCCCAGGGGTCTGTCTTGGGACCGGTGCTCTTTAACATCTTTATCAATGACATCAACAACAGAATAGAGTGCACCCTCAGCAAGTTCGCTGATGAAACCAAGCTGAGTGGTGTGGTTAACAAGGTGGAAGGAAAGGGCCTGGGTGAACCTAATGAGGTTCAACGCAGCAAAGTGCAAGGATTTGCACTTGGGCTGGAGGAATCCCAGGCATCCATACAGACTGGAAGGAGCAGACCTTGAGAGCAGCCCTGCAGAGAAGGACCTGGGGGTCCTGGTGGATGAAAAACCGAACATGAGCCAGCAGTGTGCTCTTGCAGCTGGGAAAGCAAATGGTATCCTGGGCTCCCTCACAAGAGGGGTGGCCAGCAGGGAGAGGAAGGTGATTGTCCCTCTTTACTCTGCTCTTGAAAGACCCCATCTGTAGTACTGTGTCCAGGTCTGGAGCCCCCAGTACAAGACAGAGAGCTCCTGGAGAGGGTCCAGAGGAGAGCCACAAAGATGATCAGGGGGCTGGAGCACCTCCCCTGTGAAGACAGGCTGAGGGAGCTGGGCTTGTTCAGCCTGGAGAAGAGAATGCTGCTGGGGGACCTCATTGCAGCCTTTCAGTACCTAAAGGGAGCCTACAAACAGGAGGGGAGTCAACTCTTTACAAGGGTAGATAACAGCAGGACAAGGGGAAATGGTTTGAAGTTGAAGATTTAGGTTAGATGTCAGGTGGAAATTCTTTACAGAGAGAGTGGTGAGGTGCTGGAACAGGCTGCCCAGAGAGGTTGTGGATGCCCCATCCCTGGAGGTGTTCAAGGCCAGGCTGGATGGGGCCCTGGGCAGCCTGGTCTGGTATTAAATGGGGAGGTTGGTGGCCCTGCATGTGGCAGGGGGGTTGGAGATTCATGATCCTTGAGGTCCCTTCCAACCCAGGTCATTCTACGACTCTAGGATAAACTAAAACAGAAGCCTTAAAATTTAACCTATTTTTACATTTAAATCTTACATGTTGTACATATCCTTGTATTATTTATGAAATAGTGTTGTGTGATTCTAAAGTAATGTTTCAGATCCTGCTTATAATTTTTAAATCAGTATATTTGAGCATTCCACTTTTATCAAACTTCTAACTTCTGAATTTTCTATGTAGATGCTGAAAAGAATATCAACCACTAGATCAGCAAAATCAAAATATTTGTATAATCATTACTTTGTTCTCATCTAATCCATAAACAGGAAACCTCTGCAAAGACGATGACCATTTCAATGTCATCATATGATTTAAAAAAAAAAAAAAAAAAAAAAAGGAAGGAAAACTCGGGAGATTCGGAAAGTTCTTAGAGAAAGGCATTCCAATTTTATCAACCATTGACTTACTGTGCTGTTATATTCATGGCTTACTAGATGCTAACTGGTAGTTACGAAGTAGCATTTTGCTTCTCATTTCTATTTTACAATCAGCCAGTGTAAACAGAGAAAAAACATGAGAAGCTTTCAGTATCTATCATGACTTTAAGGTGAAAAATATGCTTAAGAGAACACGATTTGAACACATTACTTTTACAAAAAGAAACATGCACCTCTGGATGATGGCAAGAATTAGAGACAAAATTGAACTTGTGGGCTGAAACAAAAAGCCATTTCCTAAGATAGAAGAGAAAAGTGGAAACAAAAATGCAATTATAACAATGTCTGTATGCACCTCCATAACAGAGATAAGCAGATAACCTTTCCATATTCCAATTTCATAAGCTAAAAATCTACACTTCTGTGTATTAGTTATTGTTCAACTGTTCTGAATTTCACACAGAAAGAATATTTATTAAGCCTTGATAGTTCACTCCAGAACTACTGGGTAAACAAAATACAAGATAAATTGAAATTGTATGCAATAAACTTAGAGATAATTTATTCCATTCTCTAGCAAAAAAAGAGAGCATGGCATTCCTAGGTTTGTCAAATCTTTCTCAGGAATCTTCAATAACGAAGATTCCAAAATAATTTACCTGAAAATTTGACCCCTTTTGCTATAGAGTTTTTATCTCAAATTTAATCCACCTGTCATAATTTACACTCATTATTCATTCGTATCTACTACAATGATACTACCATATGTTAACAATATTCTATTTAATTTTTTTTTTTTTGTACTTTCTGGACTTCTAGTCATTTCTATTGCTTTTATTGGTCCACTTCTTTCTCTGAGCACAGCAACTCAGACAGGAAGTGTTGTATTATTGGCACTGAACAATTATTTTACCTGTTTTACTTACATTATTTCTATGACTTACTCCAATTTATATATCTGTCTCCCTCACAACGACATTACAAATTTCAAGATCAGGTTGAATGGGACCCTGGGCAACTTGAGCAGGTGCCTGTTTTAGTGGATGGCCACCCTGACTATGGCAGTAGGGTTGGTAGTAGCTGAACATTGAGGTCCCTTCCAACCCATGCCATTCTATGATTTTATGATACAAAATATACCCAACTAATACAACAGGTTTGTTGAGGTTCATAATATGAAAGCCTACCTCTTTCGGTGTGAAGGACAATGAGCACTGCAGGGATGACTTTCCCTGTAAAGTAACTGAATGCAAATGAGTCTTTGAAGAACCGCTGTCAACCTCTGTCAAACAAAAGTCAGAATCACATTACAGGTGCCTTTGTACTAAATATCAATCTTGTAAGAATTGCAGTAATTTTAAGTGATGTCCACCACAGATATATACACAGCAGATGTTTTTCATCAAGATATGGATGAGCATAATATTTTCATAAGCGTTCTGGAGTTAACTTTCAGAAGTGATAATAACAGTAACTTTAATGAAAGTCATAAAATAGTCAGCTGAAGTTTTTTCCCCCTAAATGACTTCTAGCCTTTACCAGTTTAGGCTTCCTTAATTCTTTAGGCTTTTGGGTCCTATTTTAAAAACACTGACAGAAGCATGAAGTAAACCACCTCTGAGGACAATATTCACTCTGTGACAAAACCATCTGAACAATATGGGATATCAACGGATGTCACATTATTCGTTTCAAGCACAAAGTCTGATCTGGAAATCGTGTAATGAATCAATTCCCAGGGTGGTTAGTTGTCTACCATAGACAGTCTTACAGACCTTTAATTAAGATAACTGACTAAGGGCCTTCACTTTCCCTTTGAAATCTATTGTGTGATAAGGAGGTCCCTTTGTTCTCATCAGATTACTTTTTGTGATCATCCACATTTAGTTCTACATAAGGATATAAATAGAAATTAAAATACTGGCTTGCACAAGTGTTCCAATTTCCTGAGCTTGCAGTAACAAGAGGCTGAATGAACATAGCTGAAAAATCTTTCATGTTTAAGTATAACACAGACAATACCAGGACTGAATTAAAAAAGGGATGAGCAACAACGAATAAAGAATAAGAAACTGTAGTAATATCAAGAAACAAAGAACAGCAGCCAAATTCCTTATACTGCTCCAATGCCATCCTGATTTGGGCATTATGTAAAAGAGACCCTGTGATTAACTCTCAGACTCCTTGCAATGTTATAAAAAAAGTCCAGAACACCATAATGATGATGAATTAACTTAAAAGTAAACATTATCAAAACAGGGGCAAAAGTCTAAGAATAGGAAATAAGTGTAGTTGACATTCTGTTTTTTGTTTTGTTTTTTAATTTTAACTGGTGTGAGGGTAATCAGACATTTTTAAATGCCTTTGCAACCATAGGCGAAAAAAATAATAATAATCTACAGGAAACTATTTTCCAAATGCTTAATTTTAGCAAATGTCATTTTTTGCATTAAACCACTGTTCAATATAAAAAGATTGCCTTACATTTTCTGTAAATTATAACATTTATATGCCAGAAATATTCTCACAGATTTTCTCTTAACATTATCCCATTTTTTTTTCATTCAGTGAAAATTGATACAACAAAAGCCAATACCTGTCTTGTCATCCTTGTTAGAATCAAGTTTAAAATCCTTATACTTCAAAAAATCAAATAGCACTTTGGTAGGTGCTTGTCCTTCATTCTGCAGTAAAAATGGAATTGATTTTGTAGAACCAACATAAACACCACCAAAATCAAATTGTTCCTGTAAGTTTAAAGAAGAAAAAAAAAAGCCTGTAGTTGAACAGAACTTGAAGAACTATATTTTTCACAGATTTACCATCAGGCAGACATCTCAATTGATCAATTGTTTTGCCTAGCCCTTATCTTGAAATTATTTCCAAGGTAGCAAACACAACAGTTAAGAATTCAATATAGAAATCCAGTTGCAGCATCACAAGGGTTTTCCTTCTTTCAATAAACAGATCAGTGGATCCACTTACCGCTATCCTACATTTTTCTCTGCAACTAACTTAAAGAAATCCTCTCTGTATTAATACAATCATTTTTCCCAAGTGTTCAAGTCCAAAGGTTAGAGCTAACTCTTAGTGTAACTTCCACATGTACGTTTAGTTTTTAACTTCTCCTCTTAAGTTATTTTCCTTCATTTGATAATTTTCCTCAGGAAGTTCACACAGGAAATAAAAACAGAAAATACAAAGTAGAGAAGAAGCACTTTGACATCAAGGTAATGCAAAACACTACAAGTCTTACCAATTGCTAGAATGTCTTCATACTTACCACATCAATCTTTATTTCAGGGGTATCTACAAATCCACTGATCCTAAGCATTAGTACTCCTGAGTTTCGAATTGCTACCTAAGTTAACAAAGAACAGTGTGATTGTTGACAAGGTCATTTTAACATAAAAGTCTCATCAAATTAGCCACAACTACAAGTAAAAACAAAACAAACAAAGAAGACATATCTGGATAGTTGTTGCTATCAATAAAGCTCCAAATGGCTAGTCTTCTGCAGACAAAGCAAACGTGGCAGGAAGTTGTATCACTAGAATGAGCGGTATTCTCTAACAGAATAAAGCTGAATGGATGGATTAGTTCTATTCAGCAAACATGAAGACTAGCACGCAGCATATCTATAGGCAAAATCCTTGAGGGAATTGCTGCTGCAAAACAGATGCTATTGCCTGGGGCAATGTTTGTTAGAAGTGGAATGAAAAAAATGATCATTAGGTTCAATGAGCATAATGTAGGCAGCCACAGAAGATGGACAATCCAGGATTAAGGTCAAAAAAGGTAACAAAGATCAACCCCAACAGTAGAAATTTTTTTTTTTTTTTCTTTCCCCTACTTATCTGACTATAGACAAGTTCAGGAAACAGACATGCAGAAAACAAACCAGGATTGGATGTTTATTGCACTCCTATTATCAGATCAAGTTTACTAGTTATTCATCTCTAAATTAACTTCATTCTGTAATTAAAAAAGTAGTCAAAAATGAAGAATATTTCAGTCCTGCAACTCCATTAAACACTAAACTGTGCAAATGATTCTATGAAAACAATGAAATGTTAGTTTCAACAGCTTGCCAACAATATGACTTGAATCAGCTCAAGTGAGAGGCTGTTTAGATACTTCTGTTATTGGTCTCAGTACTGCTCTGACCAGCTTACAAGCCATCAACAACTGTGAGAAACTCCCCCCTTCCCCCTCCAAGGATTAGAACACCAGAGGAAAGCTTCAGAGATGTTCAAATGTACATACATATCAACATACAAGCATACAGATTTGAATACCTCCACTCTTGTATCAAAGTTCATTTTTGAATTTGGAGTGAAACTGATTTTGAGATCAGCACAGCCTCCCACAGGTACCACTCCTTCAAAAGGGGTGATCACCATTCCAGGCAATGGATTTGAATCAATAACCTTCAAACACAAACATGAGATGGTAGTAGTACTGAAATAATAATAATAATAATTCACTGCTAAAAACAATACATGTATCTATCATAAAGCTTTTATATGAAGATTCACCTCGTAAGAATAACATCCAATAAACAAATAAACATGATTGGTACAAATAAAAACAAATTAATCAAATAGTACCAAAATGAAGTACGAGCAGCAGTTCTTTGGATTTTCCTGAAAACAGTATCAGTCACTATATAAGTACAGCAAATTATTCTGTGATCAGAAGAACGGATGTGGTTGGGTTTCCTACTAATTCATGTTTTATGCCTTTACCTGCCCCAGCATTTCATTCACATCTTATCTAAACCATAACACAGTCAACCCTCCTCTCAGCTGTTAGTCTAGTAAAGTAATCACATTTGCTGGGGCCAAACATTCAACCTGTTCATTCTCACATACTAAATCCCTCCTCATTAGGTACATGAATATGGGATTCTTCCTTCACCACTGGGTTTCATAAAGCTTCCAGAATCTCCTAGATCATTAACACCTTGTTGGATTTGGTATAACAGATAGTGAAGAATCCCTCTGCTTATCTATCTTCCTATGATCTTTTTTCTTCAAAAACTAAGATAAAATAGAGGTCATCCAATAACTGAGAATGAAAAACTGCAACAATCTGATAAAAATGAACTCCCTCCTCCCCCCCCCACATCAATAATTAAACGTGCTGAAAATACTTCTATCTTACTTGGAAGTAGGCATGATTGTATCCTACGTTACAAAGAACAGCAGTCTTACAAGTAGGTAAAGCCAGTGCACAGTGACTGAAGGGTACCCATTGTTCCATAAATCGAACTTTAGTAGGACCAAACTATCAAAATAATGAAAAGAAAATAAGCAAGTTAAATCACATGTTATAAAGTATAAATAAACAGCCCAATTTTGTTTTCAATAATAAGCTGACTTATCTGTTGAAATGTGTAAGTCATAACTACTCAACCTGTATTTTTCTGTTTGAGTATGTGATGAGATTTACACAACCTATTGAATCTATCTAGATAAAAAGCAATCAGATATAAGCCTTTATATATTTCTGAGTTAAGATAAATAAAAAAATATTCTCATTAAATTTAAAACCACAAGCTCCCTGATTTTTTAATGATGCGTGATGATGTGGGAGCAGAACAATAGACTTCAGAGATTTAGAATATTCATGGTTTCACTGCGTTAAACATTAAACTAAAACTGCCATGTTTTAGATATTCTTTTGAAGTCTTGGAAATTGCCATATGAAGCTACTCAGAGAAGAAAAAAAAGGATGCAGAACTATCAAAAGGAAGTTTCCTTGGCACTCAAAATGGAAATATTACACAGCAAGCAGTCAGTAGAATTATAATAAGTAAAATCAGTCTAATTCATACTTCCTGACACATGTAACACTACATATCAAATGATTCAATTAAGCTGAATTTCTTTTCTGGAACACCATTCTTTTCTCATGCAATTCCTTCTGTAAATTTATTCTGCTCCACCTTAAAATAGTTTGAGATTGACAAAATTATTTATCAGCCAATCAACAGTTGCTATCCTGAAGCTGTTCAAAGAATGATATTTTTTTAAAATTTTCTTTCTCCTTCATTTGTATCCCTACAACATACACATAAAGAACTGTTATACCACCTCTCAACCTCTGTTTCTTTATATAAGTAAATCAAGAACTGTTACAGCATAAGATATAAGGACCACTCAGTTGTGATGCTAAAGGAAAATACACTATCACAGACAAGACACAGACAAAGCATCTTTGTCTTGTCATCAATTCTTCAGAGCAATATACTTTTTGTAAATGTGTCATATAGAATATATGAAATTGAAGTATTTTTTAATATACAGCCATAGAGCTATATGTAGGAAGTTAGTTATTAAAGAAATTTGCTTCTCTAAGCCCACTGTATGAAGCATTACCTTTGCAAAACATTTCAAGTTAGTTGTGTTTCCCTTATGCACACACAAAGCGAATTCTCCTGCTTCTGCAGAGTTGAATCCTGGATGCCAAACAACTTCACACTCCAGGTCACTATAGGGTTCCACAAAGCCTAAATAAAGAATTTACACACTACATCATATACATTTATAATTATCAAGTTTTATTACATAATTACAAATAACACAAGGACATTAAAATTAACAACCTTCTATTACTGAAGACAAAACCAACATTTCAAAGATGCCAAACAGTACAATGAATTAAAAATTAGCATCTGAATTCTTAAGATGTAATATGTGAAGTGTAATATCTCACTTTACTAGAGTCCCTAGAGTAAATCACATGCAAATTTCATCGGTATGTTTTTAGCCAAAAATTACTCAATTAAAAGGACAATCCTTGTAAAATACCATGTCTGGGAAGGAGCATATGCTTCTGCTTGCTTTCAGTTGACTACAAACTCAAAATAGCTTACCTCTCAAGAATCAGAGCACACCAAGCTTCTCATCCAGCCAAGTCTTTTTTGAACTGAATAATGCCAACTCAGAAATTTTTTTTGTCATTTTTGTTTGTTTTAAAACAAAAAAGCTCCAACCTATTCCTACAGAACAATACTTTTCAAAGGAAAAAAAATCTCATGTTTTTTAATAAACATTGATCTATACTGCAAGTGGAAAGTAATCCCAATTATACTTGTGTCACTCACACATTAACTTCTACTTGTTAGATATCAGCAAATTGAGCTCAGAAACATGGTGACATAAGACCTGTTTGTTGGCTATGGAAACATCAAACTGGACTTAAGGTGAAATGGGTTTATATATGGAAAACTCCTCTGGCATCAACACGCCAATCTGATACTACCTGATAATATATTGTTGCTGACTCAAATATAAAAACAGAGTTCATAGCATCAGATGAATGTTTGTATTATTTAAGATTATTGACATTCAAGATACACATTGTAATTGCATAGTATACCTTTGGTTGGCTGTATAGAAAATGCAGTTCCTTTTTCTGTAGTTACAGGTATCCAAGTAAACTCAGCAGAACAGTTTCCTGGATTGCATACTCTGACTGTTGTTCTAAATTCTGTCTCTTCCAGGTAGCCAGGAATTGGGTTTAAAATCAATTCTCTTGCAGACAGATGAAGTTCAACAGGCACTACGTTTGCAATAACCAGCACATGCCCAGGATGCTTCTTGTTTATTGTGTAAGTGAAAGATCTGTAGCATAAAAAAAATTTGTATGCATTTCTGAATAGTTTTTCTGTATTTATTATGTTGTAGTGAAAGTAAAATTTATATGAAGTATAATCATGAAGAAGACAATTACGAAGCAAATGAGCATCAATACCGTTAAAACTGACAAGAAAAAGTTACCTATAATTGACCTGCGTGTAACTTAAACCATCTGATTGGTGAAGATCATCCCAATGAATTACCAACTTCATACTGCTCTTTCACAAGTACTAGTAATCTGAGAGTCCCATCTTGATACTAAAAAGCTAGTAAATGGTTTGTCTACTTATTTAGCCAGAAAGAAGTGCATGATATAAGCACAGATGCAAAAAGGTAAGATTATGATAGAAGGAGCACAGTATTTTCACAAAGATTCTCACAACAAATAAACTGAAATAGCAAACTCTAAACTCTTTTCTCCTGATAATCTGTGGCACTATGGCTATAAAACTTGCAAAATTTTTCAACATAAATCAGCATAAGTTACTGATATTACCACAAGTGTACATTCATAATTTTATCATACTTACACCAGTGTAAACTAGTCACTGCTTTTTTTCCTACTAATAAAAACTTAAGACATAAATCAAGACAAATATAAGAAGCCTTACTTTTTAAACATTCCACAAAATTTTGCCTCAAATTCTACTGGAATAAAGGTCTTTGTAAGAGGAGGCACCACCTGACACAACGGACCCAATATCTCCAAATCATCAATTTCAATCTCAATTTGTATCCATATATGAACCAACAAGTTATTGGTGATATGCAGTTTTCTGACAGTTGTAGAGCGCACACAAACATCACCAAAGTTCATAGTAGAAGGACCTGGAATATATTAGAAATGCAATCTTCAATATTAAATTAAATCAACATTCTCATTGAAACAATTTAGTCTTCCCCATTACAGAAATAGTCAGTAGCAGAACAAATTAACTTAAGATTTGGAAGTATATTTTTTCCTTAATTAACCAGATATTTAAGTTGTTAGACAAGCAACAATTCAAAATAAAAAAATTCAGTTTTATTTGCTTTTTGAGATGTGACAATTTGCTTTCTACAGTACACGTAATCTGGTGGTGACAAAGTGATCTCTACTGTATTTACTGCTATCACCATTCATCATGCTGGTCTGCAGACTTCAAGCGCTTTGCATTAACCAAATATTTTACAAAACCCCAAATATTTGTTTGTATTAATATATTTAATTTATTCTACTTTACCCCAGGTATACAGTATATACAATAGTCAAGTTCTGGCTTCATTGAAAATTCTACAGACAACCCAAAAAGCAATGAAATTTTTGACTTCACAGCTAAATGATATCATCTGCCCCTCAGACCTTAAAACAGACCTGTTTTACTACAAAGTGCTGTTAATAGATGAGACCCTCATAGACTTTAGAAGGTGTCATGCTTCCCATCACAGAGCATTCAACTAGAATTACTTTGAAGGATGATCCTGAAGAAGTTTTACTTTGAGGTATTACTGTTCACTGCTATCTTTAAGAAACATTCTGAGGACTCCAAGCAACCTTGCGAATACTACTGCTGGTCTAGATACCATGCATTAACTAGCCGTAATAGTAGGCCTTATATTATGCTGCATTCATTTGTCCATAATGGGCTATAGCAGAACTGGCCTTTAAAGGAAGCTCACCTTTCACATGCCCAACCTAATTCTATCTCTGTATTGTCTGTTGGGTACAAAGTTTTAGTTAAACACTACTGTAGGTATCAAGCTACCACTGAACTAAGCTATTTTTTGTTAAAGGTGAAAAGCTGTGGAAGCACTTTGTGTTACTACAAATAAGCATTTTTATAACAACTGTATGCATTTAGAGACAAGAATAAAAATATTACCAACTAGTATTTGATGAAGCTGTTTGGGTGTCAAAGTTAGATTACAATCATCCTTTTCTTGAGTAGAAGAAGGCACAGAACTAAGCCCACTCGAAATCTGGGATAAACACACAGAACATCTTCTCAGAACAGGATAAAAATTCTTGTTTTTTTTTTTATTATAGCAAATACATTATGCTTATATAACTACTCAAGCACTCAACTTACTTCCTTGACTGAAGCACTTGCTGCCGATTTTTGACTAGTTAACAGACAATTCTCATCCAAAGAAAGCTTTCTCAACTGTAGCTTCTCCTTGGGAAAATCTGTGACTGAGATCTTTGGTGACATAATCTCTTCAGCTGGTCTAAAATCTATGCTCATAGAATTATTATAAATATAAAACTGCCTACAGAGGAGGGAGAAAAAAATTGTATGGAAACCTGTAAGTTTGAGCATTCTATGTTTTACTCACTAAAGTACCTCAGATTTATTTTTTTTAAATAACAAATAACACTGTATAATCAATGAATATTAAGATGTTATAATTACAAAATAAGAGAGTTTGGCAAAGCAGATAATCATAGAATCACCAAGGTTGGAAAAGACCTAAAAGATCACCCAGTCCAACCGTTCATCTATCACCAATAGCTCCCACTAAACCATGTCCCTCAACACAACATCCAGCCTTTCCTTGAACACCCCCAGGCTCGGTGACTCCACCACCTCCCTGGGCAGTCCATTCCAGTGCCTGACCACCCTTTCTGAAAAGGAATACTTCCTCATGTCCAGCCTGAATCTCCCCTGCCATAGCTTGAAGCCATTCCCTCTGGTCCTATCACTAATGACACGAGAGAAGAGGCCGACCCCCAGCTCACTACAACCTCCCTTCAGGAAGTTATAGAGAGCAATGAGGTCTCCCCTGAGCCTCCTCTTCTCCAGGCTGAACATTCCCAGCTCCTTCAGCCTCTTCTCATATGCCCTGTGTTCCAGACCCCTCACCAGCTTTGCTGCCCTCCTTTGAACACGTTCCAGGGCCTCAATATCTTTCTTGCAGTGAGGGGCCCAAGATAATGATAACAAAGAGAGAATAGAAAGCTTACCCATATCCTGGGCTTACTTACAAAACTCCAGCAGAGCAGATCTCCAGAAGAGATCCTACCCCACTGGTAACCAGCTTTTAAATAGGACTAGGAGAGGTGCAGCCAGGCTCCACCCCTTCCGGCAGCACAGCTGAATTGCCTTCACCTGTGCTCCTGTGGCTGACTCAGTGTTCGCCTCAGGTGATCAATCAGAGGTTCAGGCCGTGACTCAGCAGTTCCCATGCAAACACTAAGTGAGAATATTTCATTATAAAATGAATCTCAAATATAACAAATGTACTGAAAAGTCTCTCATTATATTGTTTAGACAAGGACTACGCTGTTGCATGGTTGCAGATATCGCTTTGCTAAATGTGTTACAAGCACTATGGCTACAAGAACATACATATTATATCATGTCAAAAGTAAAACTTAGAGAACAATAAAGTTGTCAAGTTAAACACTGAAAAGACAGCAAATGCCATATGCATATACTGGACCACTTACAGCCTAGTTTTCAGAGCAAGTAATTTTTATTGCTCAAAGTTAAACTCCAATCTATTTCACCTGTAACCAGAGATTTTAAACTTTCAGAGATCTTAGGCAGATGCTTCATATCAAGTACTTGGAGAATTATAACTAAGTTCAATAACAACTGTGAAATTCATCTGAAAACTGAAATATTCATTTCTGCGCTTGCTCCTCAAGAAATACCTTAAATATGCCATGGTCACATAAGTTTACAATTTACAGTCACATAAACAGCCCATGCACTACACAACAACAGTTCCTTTGTGTCCGCATAAAAAAAATAAAGATGCATTCACCTCTGGCGTACCATGTCTGAATCATAATGTAATCCCAATTTACACTGTTCTGTGCATATACAATAACCTTCTGCCCCTTAATTTTTAAATAACAGGTTTTGCAGACTTACCAGTCTTTAAGGTATAACTTTTCTTTAGAAGGGAGGCTTCATAAGATTTTTTTTTTCCTCCCCTCTTATTTTTTTTCTTAAACATACTTAAAAACATCAATGCTGCCATGTCTAGCTTTCCCAGGTTTTGTTCTGCAGTACACCAAGCAAATAAATTCTCACTTTATAAAAAATTGTGAAAATTAAGACTAGGATGCCAACACGATCCTGCTACTTTACACAAACTAAGTTGTAACTCACATACTGAATACGTCACTATAGCGGAGCTGCACATGCTGATTAAAAATGCATATATTTCTTACATATAAAAAAAGAAACAAATATAATCAATAAGATGTTTTTGCAATGATCTATAAACAACTCCTCCTAGAGTTTATAAAAGCCCCAAATATTTCTTTATCCTTTAAATAAAGTCGTACCTGGTGGCATCTTTCTGTAAGCGATGCTGCCTTAAACTAGAAATGAAATCTGCGTAGTATTCCTTATGTACTTCCTTAAACAGCAGTTCACAGTCAGTATAAGAAAACTCTGGATCCACATAATTATATCTCTCAGTCTTCGTAAAAATAGTCCTAAAAATGTAGAGAGAATTTTAGTTTCATTATTTGTATAAGATGAATCTGGCTCTTTTAGAACTAAAACACATTGATTTTGCTATATACATATATTTATATATTTCACTGCAAACATATGGCTGATCATTAATATTTAACCTCGTAAAGGCAACCAAAATGAATAATTGAAACTGTGATAGCTGCATTTATAGTTTCACACACAAAAAGTCAAGTCAATAAATATCTGTGCAATAGAATCAAGGTCCACTAGACTGCAATGAATTTTAAAGAACATAGTTTGAAAAAATAACTGTCATATAAGTAACCAATCTTAATCTACTATGTAATATATATGTTTATTTTCAAATATTATCCTTTGCTTAATTTGTTACCTGTACTTTTTATTTCGTTCACTAGGTCTAATGCTGGTTGAGCGGTCATTAGGAAAAGCTATAAGTGCATCCCCCTTACAATTCCTGTTTATTTGATGAGTATGAATTTGTGTTTTGGTTGACTTAAGTATTGCCATAGGTGCAGTGTCAGTGCACTGTCTCATGTCATCAGCTACAAACCGTCCAGTTGCATTGGTAATCACTGGTGTTATACCTTAAAATTCAAATAAAACATGTTACATATATTCATAATTTTGAATCAGAATTCAAAGTACTACATAAGAAAAATACTTTGTAATTTATAACAGTCCACTCAGAAGCCCAACAATTGCGTTCATCCATCCCACTGATCTTTCACTGGACAAGAGGACCATTCTAAGAGCCAACTACTTTCACCATAGTCAAATACATACACACACATTACAGACCGAACACCTTGTATTGCGTTCAGCTGGAGCACTATTTGCCATTCTCCAAACTATAGGATTGACTACAATCACTTCTATTGCACAGGTAGATAACTTACAAGAACCTTCATTTCAGACCTTCCCTGACTCCACCAAATACACAGACAAGAACAAAAATTCATTCACACAGACTTGGAGAAAGGAACAAGAAACTTCAATTAGCTCCCATATTTCAAAAAAGCTTAAAAGCCTAACCTCTTCATAAGTCTTCAAGTTGGACAAAAAAAAAGTAGGACTGATAGAATGAATGGAAGAAAACAACAGTTAGAAAAGCTGACAGTTACCTGGGGCTTTGAATGTGAAAGAGTAACAAAGAAATATCAGTAAGCTTAAACTCTGATGATTATTACTATTCAAAAAACAAATAAAAGGCAAAGGCAGGGACTGGGAGAATGAAGAATCAGTTGCAGGAGACAGGCTGAGAAACTTGGAAGCGTACAAATTAATGGGACCTAATGAGATACATCCAAGTATCCTAAGGAAACTGTTGCACTAAGTTGCTAAGCCACTATTCATCATACTTGAGAAGTTGCAGCAGTCTGCTGAAGTCTCTACTGCCTGGAATAGACGAAACAAGACCTGGGGAACTACAGGCCAGTCAGTCTCAGCTCTATGCCCAGTAAGATCATGGAGACTATGCTAACACACATAGAAAATAAGAGATGACAGCCAACACGGCTTCACTATTTAACATCTTTGTTAGCAATATGAACAGCGGAACAGAGCAAATCTACCAGTGACACAAAGTTGAGCAGTACAATTGACAGAAAAGAAAGGCTTCCATCTGGAACCTTCAACAGTCCCTCCAACAAGTTCAACAAGGTCAAGTGCAAGGTCCTACACCTGGTCCAGGGTAATTCTAAAGAGAAACACAGGCTGACTAAAGAACAGATTGAGAGCAGACCCAAGGGGAATTTACAGAATGATAGAATCCTTAGAGTTGGAAGGGACCTCTGAAGGCCGTCTAGTCCAACTCCTTTCAATGAACAGGGATATCTACAGGTAGATTAGATTGCCCCAGGACTGATATAGCCTCACCTTGAAAGTCTCCAGGGATAGGGCATCAACCACATTACTAGGCAACCTGTTTCAGTGCCTCACCACTCTCACTGTAAAAGATTTTTTTCTTATATCTAACCTAAATATACCCTCTTTGAGCTTGAAAAGATTTCCCCTTGTTCTATCACCACAGACCCTGCTAAAGAGTCCCTTCTGTACTGTAGCTCCTCTTTAGACACTGACAGGCCACTATCAGGTCACCTCACAGTCTTCTCAGCCTGTCCTCATAGGAGAGACGTTCCATTCTGTGGCCCTTTTCTGGACACACTCCAGCAAATCCATGTTTCTCCTGTCCTGAGGACTCACATCTGGATGCAGTACTCCAGGTGAGGCCTTACCAGCACAGAGTAGAGGAACAAGATCACCTCCCTCAACCTGATGGCCACACTTCTTTGGATGCGGCCCAGGATGCGGTTGGTTTTCTGGGCTGCGAGGGTACACCACTGACTCATGTCCAGCATCCCATCTACCAGTACCCCCAGGTCTTTTTCAGCAGGGCTGTGCTCAATCCTTTCATCCCCCAGCTTTTACTGATAATGGGAGTTGCCCTGATCCAGGGGCAAAACCTTGCATTTAGATCTGTTGAACCTTATGAGGTTCACCTGGGCCCACTGCTCAAGCCTGTCAGGTCCCAAGCGAACTTGCTGAGGGTACACTCGACCCCATCAATATCATTGATGAAGATACTAAAGAGTATCAGTGCCAGCACTGAATCCTGGGGGATGCCATTCATCACCAATCTCCATCCAAACACTGAGCCATTGACCACCTCTTTCTGGATCTGCAGAAGTGCAGCCAATTCTTCATCCACTGAACAGACCACCCATCAAATCTACATCTTTCCAATTTGGAGAGAAGGATGTTGTAGGCATCCTGCATGCACCTGAGCTCCCCTGGGTTGGCCCTGCTTTCCCATCAGGTGCTCAATCACTGTTTCAAGCCATCATTTAGTATTTCTACTACACCCATCTACAACACTGCATTGAGCTCTGGGGTCCCCAGAATAAAACAGACATGGACCTGTTGGAGCAAGTCCAGAAGAGGGCCAGATCACCACTCCTACAAAGAAAGGCCGAGAGATGGGGCCTTTCAGTCCGGAGAAAAGAAGGCTCTGAGAGAATTTCATTGCAGTATTTAAAAAAGATAGAGACTTCTTATACAAGGAGACAATGATAGGAAAAGGAGAAACAGTTTTAGAAGTAAAAAATAAATAAATAGAGACACTTAGATTAAATGTTAGAGGAAATTCTTCACTCTAATGGTTGAAAGAGAATAGAATAGGTTGCCCAGGTAAGTTGTGGGTGCCTCATCCCTGGAGACATTCAAGGGAAAGTTGGATGGAGCTTTGAGCAATCTGATCTAGAGGAAGATATCTCTGCTCACGGCAGTGGAGCTGGAACTAGATGGTCATTAAGGTCCCTCCCAACTCAAGCTGTTCTACGATGCAGACCATTCTACATATAAATACATAATCTAAAACTACTAAAAAATATGGTATTATAAACACATTTTTTTATAAGGACTTGAAATCTCAACCAAATAAAATGTGAGTAATACACATATAAGCTAATTACTGGACATATTGTGGAAGATTTTTATGCCATCGTAACCTTTGCAGATTGGGAAGAATCACGGGATATAGGAAAGCTAGCAGGCTCTATAAACTGGCAAATTCATCTAGCAGTAGTAACATACAGACAACAAGGAATGCCCTGTTGTCCTTGTTCTTCCTTCATTATAAGGAATGTCCTTTGTCCTGTGCTTTACCTCTCTCACAGATGAAAACTGAAACACATTAGAACTGTGTAATAGCATCACTACCAAAAACAGAATACTTCATTAAAAGATGTATTAAAGTTAATTTAGCAAATGATGAAAAGTTATTCTTTAGTAGTGCACTTTGGTTAAAATACAAGCAAGTTCCCTTGCATTATTTTATGCTCTTCTGGGTGTATATTATCCAGCTGAACATTCTCTCAACTCCCAAAGAGAAATTATTTTTTAAAAACAAACAAAAAGTAGTATTTAAAAAAAACTTTTAAAATGTAGTTTTTTAAATATTTCATCACTTATCACCTATGATTTTAGGAACTTACCGGGATTAATTCTGAATAAAATAGCTTTTGGTTTAGATTTGCACACACCAATAAAGCTCAAATATATTTGGTGAATAGATTTTGTCTTTGAACGTTGTAAATTATTTTTCTCTAGTTCTCTACCAATGATGTCAATAACCTGCTTCACTTCAAATATTCCAATCTGATGTGGAGAAAATGAAAATATCAAATCCTGTAAAAGAAAAGTGGTTATGAGACATTACAAAGGAAAAATGTAAACTAAATATGTAATTCTGTTTAATAGATTCATTATTTTCTCTGTTTACCTATAAAGACGTCTTCAGCACTGTGCTTCTGAAGTATGCCAATGATTACACACATGCACACATACATACAGCTACACTATAGAACCAGCAAAATCCTGCTAGTTCATTTCAGAGATAGATGAACTATTTTTTCATGTCCCAAATGACAGGTTTGTTAAATTATAGTTGCTTCCATATTCAAATTAAATTTAGCATAGCTTTTTATATTAAAGAAATACTATGTTACTCAAGTACTTGCAATAAACTGAAGGAAATGAAAATAATCCTGCAAAGGCTTAGTCCTGTCAAGACAGTAAAATGCTAAAAGCTTAAATCCAGGCAAAATGTAAGCAAAAAGATTTTGGAGGAGCTCCTCCAGAAAAGTATTGTGGCCCATAGCCCAGCTAGAATGCCTCTACACCAATGCATGCAGCATGAGAAATAAGCAGGAGATAGAAACCACGGTGCAGTTAGAAAATTATGACCTAATTGCTACCATAGAAACACGGAGAGATAAATCACAGAACGACAATGCTATGATTGAGGGCTACAAGTTTTTTTAAAATTGATAGGCAAGATAGGAAGGGCAGAGGAACTTTCAGGCTCTTATTCTGGGTGGAGGGGAGCAGGTTTAACCACCTGGATATCTGCTGGGAAAACAACACAGTGAGTGGCAAGAAGTTCAGAAGACTCCTGAAGTCTGTTGAGGATAACTTCCTGGTTCGGGGGTATTGGATGGACCAACCAGAGAAGAAACATTACTGCACCTGATGATCAACAATTCAGAAAAGATTGTTAAAGAGGTTAAAATTGAAGGCAGCATGGGCTGTAGTGACCAGACCCTGCTTCAGTTTGTGATCTCGAGGAACACGAGCCTGGCAGAAAGCAGAATCAGAACCCTGAACTTCAGGAGACTGAACTTGAGGCTGTTAAGGAACTACTGGATGTGATCCACTAGGAAACTGTCCTTAGGGACACAGGAACAGAACAGAGCTGGCAGCTTTTTAAGGGCACCTTTCTGAGAGCACAAGAGCTCTCCATCCTCCAGCACTAGAAATCAAGCAGAGACAGAAAACTGGCATGGCTGAGCAAGGACCTGGTGGTCAAAATGAGAAAAGAAGGAAGAGATAGGCAGTGGAAGCAGGGATGGGTGGCTTGGGAAAAATACAGTGATGCTGTCTGGACATGCAAAGATGGGATTAGGAAGGCCAAGGCACAGATGGAACCGAATTTGTTGAGGGATGTAAAAAATAACAAGAGCTTACTTAAAAACATTGGCCAGAAAAGAAAGGCAAAGAAGAATATACTTCCTGCAATAAATAAGAAGGGAAAACTGACTTCAACAGATATAGAGAAAGCTGAGATACTCAAAAAGACTTATTTGCCTCAGCTTTTGCTGGTAGTCAGGCTTCTCACACCTGTCATATTCCTGAAACTCAAGGCAGGGGACAGAGAAGCAAAATTCCTCTTCCTGTAAAAGCAGAGCAAGCCTGAGACAACCTCATGAGGTGGAGCATGTAGAAGTCTACGGGACCAAACAACACGAAGCCAAGGGTCCTGAAAAAAACAGATGATGTAGCTGCCAAGCCATTCTCAACCATATTTGGAAAGTCATGGCTGTCAGCTGAAATCCCTGGTGCCTAGAAAAAGGGAAACGCATTCCCATTTTCAGGAAAGGGAGAAAAGAAGATCTAGGGAACTACAAGCTGGTGATCCTGGTGTGCTTGGAAAGTTCATGGGCGCAAATCCTCCTGGAAGAAATGTTAAGGTACGTGTGAGATGAGATGATCCAAGGCAGCCATCATGGGTTCACCAAGAGCAGATCATGCCTGACCAATCTGGTGGTCTCCTACAACGGAGTGACAGCATCAGTAGCCAAAGGAAAGGCAACTGATGTCATCTACCTGGACTTGTGCAAGGCCTTTGATATGGTTCTGCACATCTTTATCTCTAAATTGAAGAGGTATGGATTTGAAGACTGGACTATTTGGTCCATAAAGAAATGGTTGGATGCTCATAGTCAGAGGGTTGTTGTCAGTGGTTCTATATCCAGATGGAGGCCAGTCAAAAGTGGTGCTTCCTCATGGGTCTATCTTGGGACCAATGCTGTTCAATATCTTTATCAACAAACTAGACAGTGGGATCATGTCCACCCTCAGTAAGCTTGTTGGTGACACCAAGCTGAGTGGTGTAGTTTGTACAACAGAAGGAAGGAAAGATATTCAGAGGGACCTGGAGGCTTGAAAATGAGTCCATGTGAACCCAATGAGGCTCAAAAAGGTATTATATTTAGGTCAGGGCAATCCCAAATATATGAACAGACTGGGAGAACACAATGAGAACAGCCCTGCAAAGGACTTGGGGGTCCTGAAGGACAAAAAGATCAACAAGACCCATTAGCACTCACGCTTGCAGCCTAGAAGGCCAACAGTATCCTGTGCTGCATCAAAAGAGGAGTGGCCAGCAGAGGAAGGAGATGATTGTTCCCCACTACTCTGATCTCATGAGGCCCCCATCCTATGTCCTGCTTCAAGCAGGTGCAGAAGGAGGCCACAAATTAATTGTACCTACATAGTAAAACGCCCACCTTATCATGGCCTTTCAGAACAGGAAGGGAGCTTTAAAACAGGAGGGGTACCAACTTTTTGCATGGTCTGATTATGATAGGAAAAGGGAGAATGGCTTTAAACTAAAAGAGGGAAAGTCTAGATTAGATGTTAGGAGGAAACACTTTACCCAGAGGGTGGTGAGACACTGGCACAGCTGTCTAGAGAAGCTGTGGGTGCTCTGTCCCAGGAGGAGTTCAACATCAGTTTGGATGGAACCCTGGGCAGCCTGAGCTAGTGGGTGGCAGCCCTGCCCATTGTAAGGGAGTTGGAACTGGATTATCTTTAAGATCCCTTCCAATCTTAGCCCTACTACGATTCTATGAAAATTTTCTTACTATAATTACCTTTTACAAATTTAAAATATCTCTTGCTATTTCCTGGAGTACAGGAAAGACCATTAAGGAGAGGGAGGTGATCACCCCCCTCTACTCAGCGCTTGTGAGGCCCCATCTGGAGTACTGCACCCAGGCCTGGGGCCCCCAGTACAGGAAGGATGTGGAGCTCTTGGAGCAGGTTCAAGGGCCACAAAGATGATCAGAGGGCTGGAGCACCTCTCCTTTGAGGAAAGGTTGAAGGAACTGGGATTATTTAGCTTGGAGAAGAGGAGGTTCCAGGAAGACCTCATTGCAGCCTTCCAGTACTCGAAGGGAGCACATGAACAGGAGGGGGGAACGGCTGTTTACAAGGGTGAATAATGATAGGACAAGAGGGAAATGATCTTAAACTGAGATAGGGGAGGTTTAGGTTAGGTATTAGGAGGAAATTTTTCCACGCAGAGGGTGGTGATGCTCTGGAACAGGTTGCCAAAAAAGACTGTGGATGCCCCATCCCTGGAGGCATTCAAGGCCAGGCTGGAGGTGACTCTGGGCAGCCTGGTGTAGTGGATGGTGACCCTGCACATAGCAGGAGGTTGAAACCAGATTATTATTGTGGTTCTTTTCAACCCAGGCCATTCTATGATTCTATAGAATCACAGAATATATAAGGAGAAAAAAATATGCATTTAGCTGATATTAAATATTATAGCTGCTGAAATTAAATTATTCTGTTTTACTTTAAACAAACTTCACTACTGATCCATGTAAAATAACCTAGTTATGTATATAATCTATGACAAAGAGATAATTACCTTAGTAGAACTTTTTTTAATTTTTCCTTTTTCAGGAGAAATATTAAAATGAGCAGTCTTGCGGAAACTGAATTTTACTGGAAGGGACTCAGATTCATTTTTGAGTGTGCACAAAACTTGTGTTTGTTCACCCGGGAAACAGTCCATAAACTTAATTACAGGTCCTCGATTTAAAGTTAACATGACAGGAAGAGCAGAACCTGTCACAGCCAATTCTGTGCTATTAGGACGATTCTCTGTGTTAGAAATGGACACAAACAGAAAATAGTAAATAAACAATAACAACAACCACCACCCATACATTACCACAGAAATGTATTAGCATACCAGCAAGAACCATCACGCTATAGCTGTATGGTTGTAAAATCAAAATAATACTGCTAGACACTATGATTTATGAGGCAGTTTTCTATAAGATTTGAACACAGACATGTTTATTGATAATGGCTGCTAGAAAATAAATTGTTCTTTTATTAAATTCAAATGAATATCATTTCATCCTCAAAATGCTAAATGTATAACCCATGTGCTAGTGACTTACAAATGGATGTTGGTATTTGTCTCCTCCCTCCCAAATTTTTACATCAAGTTTTAGCTGTTCACTGCGAACAGATTCATTCATGGCATGCATGAACACACTCAACTCTTTCTACTCACAACAGATTTTGGTGCTAAGGCATAAAAGCTTCCCATAACACTGTTAAGTAGTAGTAGAAGAAATTTAAAAAAAAAAAATCAAGATATACAATTTTATCATCCATATACAGTGACTATACAGTTCTATAACATACTTGTACTTGGTGTGGTACCGTCACTGGGGGTCTGCAGATCTTTATTACCAGCAGCCTCAAATCTCAGGAATAATATATAATCTTGTTTTGGTGGTGAATCACTTGCTACAAAGGCCGCTTTAAATTTCCTGTGAGAGTCATAATCTCTAATTACAAGATTAAAAAAAAAAAAAAAAAAAGCAAAAAAAAACCCGAACAAACAAAAAAAGCATAATTTTTGTCATCTACTTCAGCTTCTTTGCTATTGATTACCGATTGAAAAAAATATTTTTATAGTTTCTGTAAAAAATTGAAAGTTAACAAATTTAACTGAGCAGTATCTGTATGCCTATGATGCTAGTTATTAGATATCTTTACCATTCACATGTTTCTACAATAGTATTCTAAAGATTCCCTGCACATGAACCACTTATAAGAGTTCCAGCAAGAGAAAGTGCTCATTCCATTTCCTGTTTGTCTTCCTTGTTGGAAGGAGAAATGTTCCATTATGCCTACTATTTTTTTAATTACAAAGAAAGCTCTCCCAAAATGTTTCAGTCTCTTGGTGATTAAATATCTACTCTTTCATATTGCTGCACATATATGATAACTTTATGAAATAAGTCTAATGTCCTGAAAAAGACATTTGCCTCTTTCTCTTTGACAGAACTTTCTCAATCTTCAACACATTTAATTGGAGCAATAATGCATTCCCTTTGCAAAATCTACTAAGATTATTCTTATCTCAAAAGAAGCTTACTCAATTCCTGATCCAAAGGCATCTTTTATGAACTACAAAACATCTCCAAAATAACTATTTCAGATTTAACTTTATAGAACCAGGCAATCAGGATATCCCAAGTTGGAAGAGACCCAAAAGGATTATTGAGTCCAGCTCCAGGCTCTACACAGGACCACCTAAAATTCAAAACCTGTGTGGGTGCACTGTACAAATGCTCTTAACTCCAGCCCTGGGGATCATGCCTACTGCCCTGAGCAGCCAGTGCCAGTGTCCATCCATCATCTTTTGAAGAGCCTTCTCCTAACACCCAATCTAATCCTCCCCTGACGCAGCTCCATGCCGTTCCCTCGGGCCCTGTCGCTGTCACACAGAGCAGAGCTCAGTGCTGCCCCTCCGCTCCCTGTGAGGAGCTGCAGCCGCCATCAGGCCTCACCTCGGCTCCTGTGCTCTGCACACACCGAGGAGCCTCAGCTGCTCTTCATCTCTCTTTCCCTCTAGACCCTTCCCTATCTTTGAAGCCCCTCTTTTGATGCTATCTCATAGTTTCATGCCCTTCTTATACTATGCTAGTCAAAACTGTGCACATGCTGAGGGCTCACCAGCACAGAGCAGACTGGGACAATCCTTTCTCTTGCCCAGTTAACAGGAGGTCTAAAGTACCCCACAGTACAGTTGGCCCCATTTGCTTCACAGGACACTACTGACTCTTACTCAACTTCTCATCAGCAGAATCCCCAGATCCCTTTCTGCAAGGCTGTTATCCAGACTCTCCTCCCCCAGTCTAGAAATACACCCAAGAATGCATCATCCCAAGTACATTTGTAGTTAGGACACTCACTCACTTTGGACAAAAGCACAGTGTAACCACGGACTTTTTATAAGGTGGCAAGGTTCCCTGATCAGGAATGCACCAGATTAAGGTGGAAACATCTAAATCTCTTGTTTTGTTTATTAAGCTCAAATCTTGTAAAACAGCATCTGCACTCTTCTGTAGATCTGTTCCCTAAAAGAAAAATCAAAACATGGATATGTCAACAGCTCAGCTTGCTGTTTTATGTTCTCAAATTCTTTCCTGTTTTGTTTTGTTTTGTTTTTTCCCCTATGCAGTCTTATATCTTTCACAAGAAGTAAAAAGACGTAACCTAAGGAACGCCAGTAAGTCATATTTTCACAACACACAACTAATTAACTAATTTTACATAAATGTTTTATTTTTTTTTTTAAAGGTGATGGTTAGTCAGATTACTTCACTATCACAGAAAAAAAAAACAATTGAAACTGCAAGCATTCAACATTCTGCAACACCAGACTGTTTTGACAACTCTCAAATCACAACAAATGCATTAAGCAAAACCACCACCACAAAAAAAAAAAAAAAAAAAAAAAAGGAAGAAAGGAACATACTTAGCATTCTGAATGCTACAATGTCACATGTTGAAACAAGTATCTGAAAAAAAACTTAATTCCAAAGTAAAGACATGGTAGCTTTTGTACACTAGAGAGAAGTGACAGTGAGTTTATTAATGAGGATGTAGTGTGACACCATAAATGCAGTCAGAAGACCAGTGTGGAGAAACAAAAAATGCAAAAGCAGAAATAAACTTTTAACATATTAACATATTAAGCTTTAACATTTTAACATATATATTTATATATTATATATATATTTAACACATATATTTTAATATACTAAAACATTAACATATTAAGCTTTTTATATATATATATATATATATATTATTATTATTATATATATTATCTTACCATCTCCCCTCCAACAGCATTGTCTTCCAGTACTGCTACCCAGTCCGTACACTCTGGACTATCATTGTGTAAAGATATTTGTTTAGTCTTTGAAGACCCAAAATAAACCGATCCAAAATTAATGCATTCCAATACATTTCCAGAAGGCAGTCCTAGAACTTTAAGAACTTGTTCCACAACAACAGCTTTGATCCATACTTCAGTAGAGCTACGTCCTTCCATCTCCACTCTGTCAGTAAAAGTAGCAAATTATAGGTAATGTAGAGAAATGTTAGAAATAGTCACTCTGTTTTTCAATAGAACTACCCAAACAAACAAATCAAAACATTTCAACTAAAATTATTGTCCTATAGATAATAAAAGCAAAAAAGTACACCCAATGTACAATTCCTAGCAGATATATCACCAATCACACAAAAATGAATAAATAAATTCACACATTGCAGTATAAGGTTTGGGGGAGTTTTTCCAGTTTTTCCTTTTTCCCCTCCTCTTCTCAATTTTGTTGGCACACTGTTGTTTCAAATAGGAATGGCATCTCAGAAGATGTCCATAAATGATATGCTCCTGTTTTTCCTCTGACAATTTGTGTATCTGGAAATCCATGTTGGTGTATACCTGTAATTTTCTCTCAGAAAACTGGAGCTAGAAGTTCATTTTAGATGAATTGCATAGAACAGGTATTGTTCCTTCCTGAATGCCCAAGTTTCATGACAGCACTGAACACCAAAGGACCATATAGATGTTGTATAAATCTTATTCTACTGAAACAATCTATGTTCTTACAAAAATCTTATTCTACTGAAACAATCTGTGTTCTTACAAAAGAATCAGATGTAGTAATGTAATACTCCGTTCTAACAGAACCAACTCTTCTTTTCAATAGCTTCAGAGCTGTAAAATCTTTGAATTATCAGATATATAATGCCACAGCAGATGTTCAAGAGAAACTCAACTTCTCTGAACATCATCTTTCAGCTTCTTATTACTGAATTCACCAAAACAGAAAATAATTTTTACAAAAATACAGAAAAGAATATTCCTCTGAGAAATTTGCTCGTGCAGAGATTTAAAAAAAAAAAAAAATGCTTAGAGGAAAAGATAAATAAAAATAACCAGGATGGACTAGATGATCTTGTAGGTCCGTTCCAACCTTGTGATTCTATGATCTATACCAAACTTGGGAGCTTTTTTTTTGTTTAGGTAAACAGATTCATATAATTTTTAGAATTAATAACAGACAAGAACGTAATTTACAGACTGCAATTATATCAGTCATATACTCACTTTATCATTTCTTTGATGATTCTTGGTACATCTGTACAGATATGCACTTTAACCACCTTGAACGATTTGGGCTCTACCATTCCACTTGTAGGTTCTATGTCAAGCAGAATATCCCCAGTATATGATATTTTAAATGTACCTACAAGAAACAATACATTAAATTTGTAGATTTATATACCTCTATTAAACACTTAGAATAACAAATGACAGGCTCCTGTATGTACTGTGCAGCAGTGTTTATAAATAGAAATATTTCCTATACAAAGTGAAAATTTCCACGTTATGTAAATTATGAATGTATCTATAAAACATATATTAGTTTCAATCCCATTTTTCTAATCATCATTCCTCAAACTAATAAGTTGATATGTATATTTAAATTAAAAAAAAGTGAAGAAAGTGTTTTCATTACAAATTTTAGTCAGTTATAGGACAAGAAGAACAAAATTATTTAGTTTTCTCCTAACTTCTACCAATCCAACCAGCTAGAGCCTTGAAAAACTTAAAGAGCTGTAACATGGAATAAATTGAATTGCTAACATGAAACTTCATTTATTTAGAAACTCTCACAAATTGCTCTTTCGTGGCATGTTAACATTATTCAAATAAACACACCATCTTCTTTTAAACTGTATGTTACCCCTAGCTCAAGATTTTCACATAGCTCATTATTGTCAATAAACGAATCCACAAGCTGAGTACTCTGCAAGACTTACTAGTCAAATCCACCTTTAAAACAAAAACCCTATATTTTGAGCACATACCTTGGAATCTTCTAAGTTACTTTAAATAATATTCACTTAAACATTTCAGCTCATGCCTACATACTTGTCTTACCACAGCTACTATCCAGATCACCATGTGACAGGTAAACAGGTTTTGGTCTTGTTGAGTTTGTTTTAATTATCTTTAAACTAGCAGACTTAAACATACTCAACAGCTATCCACTTTTGTTGGTTTTGATTTACACAAACAAATTCTGCTCTAATTATACAGGACCATGTCCCTCCTGTACTCCGCATCTGGACACAGAACTCCAGGTGAGGCCCACCTAATTTCTGAGGAAAGGTATCTGCAGCTTTTACTAGAAGAAAAGGAAGAGAGACTATGTAGATCACATTGGCACTCTTACACTCCAGTCTTCATGTTTCCTATAATTCTTAGAATTGTCCCTCACAGAAGTTGAAGGATTTTAATGTTTGGAAAGCATTATGATTTCAAATGCTATGGCAGAAAAAGGAAATACCTTTTTTTTTTTTTTAAAACTTCTCATAAAGTGTATGGTTCAATTCCCATTCCAGAGATTTTGAAAGTACAGGGAGCTTATGTTTATTTATTCAACAGACAGCTAGTGGGATCAGAAAATCACAAAGACAACACACAAAGCAAGAGCAGAGGTGATTTACTATTATTTATGCTGGACATAGTGAGCTAATAAGAAACTTAAAAAAAAAAAAAAAATCTATCAGACATGATTCAGGAAAAAAGACCTACAAGAATTTTGGAAGATGCTAAACCAGTGCTTCTTCCCTGAGCAGACACTACTTCTGTACTGCCTACAGAAGTAATGGACCATTAAGAACAGCGGTGATGTAACTCAGGCAGGAAGCTCAGCACCATCACACACCTCTCTCACTCCACCTCATTCAGACGGAGGAAGAAAAGAAAATAGGGAGGATGGGAGGCAGGATGCCTACAGGTTCAGACTGGGACAATTACTGTCATGGGCAAAGGGAGTATAAGCAAAGTTTCAGCGTAAGGGAGATTGACATAATTTATCGCTTAATGAGAACAGACTAAATCAGTGAAACCAAAAAGTAAAATCACCTTCCCTGCATCCACCCTGTTCTGCCTCTTCCCCCTGAATGGCAGGGAAACAGGGAGTTGGGGCTGCAGTCAATCCATATGGCTGCACCTCTGCCATTCCTACACGGTCACTCTCTGCCTCTGCTCCATGTGACGTCCCTCCCACAGGATGGGATGCTGTCCTTCCTGTACTGAACCCACATGGGTTTCCCACAGGCTGCAGCACTCCGAGCTGCTCTGCCCTGACATGGGGCACTGCTAGGTTCTGCTCATAGAGCCCCTTGAACTGCTCTGCCCACTAGCAAAACCTTGCCATGTAAACCCAACTCATGAAACCACAATACTCATTAAATGCCTAACTCAGAACTTGCATAAAATTACATTTTCCAAGAAGAAAAACTTTCACAATTTAATGCGAACTAAACATTTACCTGGCAATGATCCATGGTTAGCAATACTAATCTCTTTACTAATTATTTTACTGTTGGCAACCACTGTACCAAAATCAACCTCTGGCTCAGTTTCCAGATAACAGGATGGAATTAACCTGTAGAAAGGAGAATTAAAAAAAAAAAGAAAAAAGAAAAAAGACATGGTTATATTCTCCGAAAACTTGAAAATAAATTTGTATCTTCAAGGCATTTGATTGAGTACCACAATGGAAAGAATTCTGCTTTCCTCCTAGTAGTCCTACTAATGAAGCTCACTCTAGCACTATAGCATATATAGAGAACACACAAAAAAGCTTATCTATCAAGCTGTTAAATGACTGCAACTTTAGTACAAATTATCCTCACGTATTTAGGCAAAACAGAGTGAATACATTTCTGTTTAGTTTCGAATACATTATTAAGTACAAAGAACTTTAATTAATTAGAAAAGCTTTCACTACATTGAGTCAGTTGCAGCACAGAAGTTGACATTCACCATATTTCACTATCAGCTGCCTGAACTAAAAGCAGAGAAAATATATGCATGTCCATTTCAATTTGGATTTCTTGTTTTATAAATATTTCATGCAGTTTCTATAAAACATATTACAACACAGGAAGTGAGTAATGAAAAATTATTTCTATTATTTACTTAAGAGCCTCTTGCAGCATGACAACCTCACTGGATAGGGTGGGAACTGCTTAGCCATAATGAAAAGCTGCTGCTTCCTTAAGCAAACTTGTAAAAGCTTCAGTTACTAACGCAAGCACACTTCTGATCTCATGTAAAATTGCATTCAAAATGAATTAGGATTTTGTATGAGCACAGCTGTCTATCTCCTCTTACCTACCAAGAGGAACATGCAGCAATTTGCATTTTATGATCTGCACTGCTTCACTGCTTCACACACTACAAAACACTAACAGGAGAAAGAAAATAATCTCCTTGGAGAGCTAAGTAAACTCTACCTCATAAGTACCTCTAAGTAAACTCTAACTCATGAAACCTTCTTCATGAAGGACAGGAGTGAGCAAGTGAAAGCTAGTGGGAGAAAAGGAGGGAAGGAAAAAACAAGGAATCAGGAATGCAACAAAAGAAGTTGCTCTTGGGCATAATAATACACTGGTTTTAATTCTCAATAAGAATTTATTGAAATTCAAAATAAAATAGTGAATTCTTGATAGGGACGATCAAGCCCAGCAGGATGTAGGGGTAAAAACAAAATCACCAAAACAACCCTGTCAAGACAAGATTAGAATACAATTGAACAGATCATAAAAACTTCACAACATGCACCAACTATTTAGACATTCTTCCAAAAAGTTTCATGAGAAATGTGAAATACTTCTACACAAGACCCAACAGCATACATAGAGCGGAAATGAAAGGTGAAAAACTGTATAATTTGAAACACAGAAGACTGGAAATAAACAAATACCTACGAGAGAAGTAGCAGACATTTAAAGAGGCCAGTCTAAATAATATCAGCAACTGCCAAGTATTCTTTATTCTATTCTTGGATTACTTTTATGAGTTTTCTGAACATGCCCTCACACGCCCTAAAATGTAGTTCTGTTCTTCATACGTGTGAATACTTTTTAAAAGTACCACCGGTACACAGATTCAGCATCATTCCCCATAGAAAATGAAAAGCACAGTACCTGAAGGGGCCAGAAGTCAGAATCCGTGATTGATAAAAATTCTGTTTATGTGTCACAAAAACATACAAAATGTCTATGTGCATGTGTCACAAAACATACAAAAACATACACAACACTTACAGAGAAATCTAAGCACACGCTTAATGATTTCAAGATTATCTATTTCAACTTTTGACACTTTAGGAAAAATAAGATTAATGTATACTACATGTTTCTGATGATGCGATGCATTAGTAATAATAAAAAAGTTATTAAAAATATATACAGGAAGACGAGCTACATGTTAGAATTATATTCATTCCAGTTGGAGGAAAAGGAGGTAAGAGACACAGCGCCGGCTTCCTCCAAATACAACTTGCGAGTTGTTTGTTTTGTTTTTTGCTTTTGTTTTTTTATATTGGCAGCGTTCTCCATCATATTAAAGACTTCTGCAGCCATTCCAAAGTAATATCTTCTTTCTTTCTTAGGAAAAACCTATGGTTAATATTTCTCAACCACTGAGTTCTCACATATTCTTACCTATATTATTTTCTCAAAATGATAAATAGTGTGTTTAAAGATTTCTTTGTACAGAATAATCTTACATATGTAGTGTATTAAAGGGTCAAGAACTGAATACAAACTTAGCAATCTACTGCAAGTTTTTTCCAGAAAGAGGTTGCCAGCAGCATTATTTCTGTAAGTGAAATCTGTCCAAGGAGGTCTCATCTCCAGAACCAATAAGAACAGATTTCTTCTAGGAAATGCACCATTGCAGAACACATTTAGAGACAGCTACTTCTTAATAACTCACAAGAAACCTGCCACACCAGAAGGATCAATAGAAGAAATTCTAGATTCCACATAGCATTATGTGATAACTTAACCCTAAGAATAGCATATAAAAGCATCCCTGCCTTCCAAAAAAAGGAAAGAAATCTCGCTCTCTACACCTCACAAATCTGCTCCCTTTAATAACCTTTACTGTTAGCATACACTAACAATTACTTTTACTATACTGTGAAATCAGTCAAATGTGTAGAATTGTAACTATGCCCATTTACATCATTTGACCACAGAGATTTCTAATATTAAGACTGATAATGGTAAGAATCTGTTTTTTGGCCTGTGGCTAAGATTAGCAAATATTAATATCAGCCCAGAAAATAAAAAAGCATGCAATTCAGATAACATACTTAGTCTGCAAATAAGTATATTGTTAGAGTTTATGTTGAGAGGGACCTCATCTGCCATAATTTAGCAATCTGAAAGTTAAAGCTGTTGTCATTCTATTCTTTTTCTTTATAGACAAAGGAGAAAAAGTCCTCCAGAACAATTCCATCTTATCCTCATACAGCCAAAGGCTGATGAAACATATTTGGAAGCTTAACTTTTGAATCAATATAATGGGTACATACAATACACAGACATATATTTTTATAAACACACACAAAATTACACAGGGACTGATGAAAACGGTCCTCAAATGTGTGATCTTATTACAAAACATCCACTATATTTTTAGATTTACACAGTGGGTTCTTCATAAAAACCCCACTACACAACCAATACAGAGTAAACAATCCAAAACCTCTCTAAGATTAAAGGAACCACCAACCCAACTTCTTACACATCTACTGCTCAAAAGAAGAAAATATATATATATATTTTATAAAGAAACTCTCTTTGTTTTCATTGCAGTTGATAAACTAGTTAGTAGCCATAAACTTCCCACAAGATTAAACTGAAAACAGTAACGGCATAATATCAACTTTCAACAGGCATACCCAACCAGGGGGATATCAACTACGTCTTCTTCTATTAAAAGAGGTAGACTATCTTGAAGATCTTCTTCAACCTCAGGACAATATTCTACAAAAGCTTTGACTTGAAGTCCAGGTGCAACGAGGTTTTCTGGATTTTCCACAATCAGTTTAAACTGCAGCATAAAAAAAATAAATAAAAAATAAAGAACAAATGTTTACTTTCATTTCTAGATTGAAAAAACTTACACATATGGCTCATTTTCAGAATAACACTAACAATAATAGATCGATTTAAAATTCAAACTGGTTTTAAAACATGCAGAATTTTGCAAAATTCCTTTTCCTATTTATTTATTTATATTATTCACACTGGCACAGCTGCCCAGAGAAGCTGTGGTATCCCATCCCTGAAGGTGCTCAAGGCCAGCCTGGATGGGGGCCCTGGGCAGCCTGAGCTGGTGGGGGGCAGCCCTGCCCACGGCAGGGGTTGGGGCAGCGTGGGCTCTGAGATCCCTTCCAGCCAAAGCCATTCTGTGATTCACCCTTGAGCAGTAAAAGAAAGGCTGAATGACTAATGTAATTTGATGGGTTCAGGAAGTGTTGATGTAACAGAATGCTGTTTCTAGTCCTTTCAAGAAAGCTCCAGTTTTGTTGCTGTTGTCACGAACATTCTGAAGCACAGTAAGATAAGGGCAGTTCCTACATAATACAGAATCTTTTTAATATCTGAAAAAGCAACAAGGATTAAGTCTCAATCCAAAGCAGCAAAAAAGAGACTGTGTAAGAATTTTCTGTAGATCTGACCTACATTCTGCTGAATTCAACTGAAAGTCCCACTACACACTGAAAATCTGTTTGAAAGGTGCATGCATGCACTTCTTGTTTCTTCAGGGAGAAGTGAGAGGGAAAACAAACAAGAAGAAAAAAAAGAAAACAAGTAGATGACACAAAGCATCTTCTTGTATCTGCTGAGGTCCAACACTCCCTTCACGTCCTTCCTTAAACAAAGAACAATATGAGCAAACCGCCAGAATGTAGGAATCCCACAGCTACCACATTTCCAGAAAACTTGATCAGCAGAGATCAAGCAACTCCCTTATGTTTCAGTACAATTCACATCACTCTATGCATAACAGGCTTCTGCTCTACATGTCCACTTTAATTGCTTATGTCTAAAGAGTCATCCCAGTATTCTTGGAGTCTTCTGTACTAATCTTTATTTGGAACTCGTAAGCAAAAAAATAATATAAGCATATTTGTTGATTCCATTGTTAGAACATCTCCTATTTCATTAAAATTTCCCTAGCAATATAAATACTCAACTAGAAGAAATTTATCATGCAAAATGCATCACGTTACTATGGGGTTGATTTTTAAATGGTCACACTTCAATTTTAAAGTGTGAACAATTTACCTCTTCTCTAAAAAGAATTAAACATCCATGCATATTCATTCTGTGTAAAGGGAAATGAATATTTTAGAGTGCTAAATTTTAAATGAAACCCATGGATAACTGCCTTGTGAGCTAACTTCCTTGAAATGCACGTTTCAGCCTCATGCTGCGGCAGCTTAGGAAGGTTAATTTTCAGTTCTTGCGCTCTATGAACGTAACACTTCAAAATATTTACAGACGAGTCACACTTCACTTCACCCTAAGTCTCATACTAGGCATCTCACAGATGATGGCGTTAAAGTATTCAGCCTAAGGCACCGACTATTTTTTGTTTGCTCCATTGGTTGGGTTTTTTTCTTTTACTAACAGTAACTGTATTCATAAATTACGACTGAGTAAGCCTTTTTGCCTCTTCTAAAGATTGATTCTGCCTTTCCATTTCCACAATGTGAAAAATTGATGAATAAGGCTCACGAAAACTAACAAAACACAATAACTACTGCCCTACCAAATCAAGCTCAAAATGCTATAAGCACGAGGCAGTATCAGCTTCTGTTCCATCTCCAGTAAAAGTCCAACATTTTGATCCTAATTTTGAATTAATTAACAGGTTAAATACTAGCTGAATGAAGGACAAATGCAAAACTACTAATCACAGTTAGGTCTTGCTGGGTCCACATCACCTAAGGACATGGGTTAGTGGGCATGGTGGTGATGGTTTGGTGGAAAAGAGCACTAAGATCATCTAGTCCAACCAACCTTAATGATCTGAGAGAGATTCTATGTCAAGGGCTATACCCATTGCAATTGGAAAGATTTTTAAAGGTTGGATACACACTGACTTTTCCGGAAGTAATGAGATGAATATGAGAACCTAATGAATGAACGGGAAACTAATGAGAATCGTGCCACCTTTAGAAAAGATGGAAGGACTTTTTTCTGAGAAAGCCTTCCACAAGCAAGCACTACAAATTGACTCCTTCTCTCAGAAAATTTACGAGAGCACAATAGAGACCTAACAGAGCTGTCAATCAGTGCTACAAAATCCCAGAAAAGAACAATTGCACAAGCTGCAATCTGTAGCCAATCTGGAACACTTCACAAATCTGACCCACTTTCATATGGCTATTCTTGAAATAAAAGGGAAATCACAGGTTTCTTGAGAGATAACATTTCTGAAAGGCACAAAGCCAGTGAGAAAAGCTGAGCAGGATTTGCTACAAAGTTCTTAATGTAGTATGACATATGAGAAAGCTTAATTACTTCTATTAAAATAATAGACTTAAAAAACAAGGAAGTTCTTTTCAAATTGCTCACCTCAGGAAAATACTGAGCTGAGGAGCCTGAAGGTCATTTCACTCTGACTTATAGGCTTCAGCTTAGCAGCCTCATTGAAATTCAATATGAGAATATTTTTCATACAATAATTAAGGTTGGAAAAGACTTCTAATACCACCTAGTCCAACCAGCAACCCATCACCATGCCCACTGCCCATGTCCCTCAGTGCCACATCCACATGGCTCTTGAACACCTCCAGGGATGTTGACTCCACCACCTCCCTGGGCAGCCTGTGCCATTGCCTTGCTGCTCTTCCTGAGAAAAACTGTTCCTAATATCCAACCTGAACCTCCTCTGGCACAACTTGAGGCCATTCCCTTTCATCTTATTGCTGTATTTAGTTATTATTCTATAGTTATTATTACCTGGGAGAAGAGGCCAATCCCCGCCTCACCACATTCTCCTTTCAGGTGGTTGTAGAGAGCAGTAAGGTCTCCCCTGAGCCTCCTTTTCTCCAGACTGAACAATCCCAGTTCTCAGCCACTCTCCATAAGACTTGTGCTACACACCCCTCACAGTGTCACTGCCCTTCTCTGGGCACACTCCAGGGCCAAGCATTTCCAGTTACCTCAGAAATCACTTCCTCGTGAGCAGCAGGTAACCAAAGAAACTCCCACAGATCTGACACATGAGAGAATACAGACAACTCTTGGTTCTAAGAATTGTCACCTATTCTTTCCAGTTTATCCAGCTAATCAACTTCTTCAAACTAACTTCCATTTCACTGACAAGCTGCAGTCAGCCCCTAAAATGCCCGAGCCGCCGCCGCCGCCGTTATTTCCTCATACCAGGGCTGGGCCGGTCGGGGGCTGTGGGGCAGACACCCACCGCTTCACCCCTGCCGGCCGCCCCTCACCTGGGGCCAGAGTGGCGGCAGCAGCCGGAGACGACAGCTCTGCGCCCGCAGATTCTGGATGCTGAGCGCGGCGCGGTATCGACGCCCCGGCACCGCGGCGGGGAAGCGCAGCTTGGGCGGGACGATACGCACCCCAGCCACGTCCCGCCACCCCTCCGACATGGCGGCTATCGCCTCTCCGAGGCGGCAGTAGCTGCTGCCTGGAAACGGTCGCTTAGCAACGGACGCGGAGCTCTGATTGGAAGCAAAAGAAGGGGCGCTTCCGAAGCTACCAATTAGAAGAGGAGGTGCCGTGCAGGGGCGGGTCCTTGCCCCACCTCCTGCCCCAAGGCGGGAAGGGCCCGGGCAGTGGCGCCATGTGGTGGCGCTATGTCACGGCCGCGTGAAGAGCTCTGGTCTCATACAGGCCCTTTGCTCGCCAGGGTGGCACCAAAATGGCCGTCGCCCTTTGGCCTGTGTTTACCAATGGGGAGGCATCTCAGCTGATGGCTCCTGGCAGCATGAGGGAGAGGGCTCACACTGCACGTGCCCTCTTTCTGACAGCAGTGGTGAAGTGTGTATACATAAGCAGGGTTTTTTATCCTCTCCTCAGGTTACTGAAAGCAAAGGTGGATTCTAAATAAATAAATAAAATAGAAGTGGCCTGATTTCTCTTCTGGATAAGCACATTACTCGTGGGCATGGTCTGCATAGACCTAAGAGGGTGCTAACCAGGCTGAGTGTTGATGGAAAGCTTGGTGTCTGCTGGGGCAGTTAATGCACTAATAATTCATTGCATGCATTTACTGAGCAGAGAAAGACAAGTTCCACTTCTGCATCCCTGTGCCTTCATGTGCTGTAATTTAAGCGGTAAAATGCTGCTGACAAGAATTCAGCACTTAGGCAGATAATGGGCCATTTTGCTCTTTGTGTCCATGTAGCAGAAGAGAGGAGGGGGAGCAGCACGCACAAAGCCTCAAACATCAATTTCGATAAACCCAAAATGTTTTGCCTTGGATTGCATCATCCCCTGAAAGTGCACATAGACTCAAGATATTTATGTTTTAAAAGGCAAACATGAGAGCAGCTGCAAACATGGATGGCAGCTGATAAAAACAAAAAGAACACAAGGCTTATTTTTAATGGGTCAAGAAACCTAGAGGGGGCGCAGGGAGAGGAGGGAGCCTTTGTTTCTGATGCTGAGGAAGGCTGTTAACAGATAGAGTTTTCTTTCTTAAAAATTCAAGTGATAGCAACCCATCTGTAGATTACTTTAGAACTAGTGGCAGCATGCCATTACAAGCACAGAAAGTAAAACCAAGGAATCTGAAAGGAACTCTTTGGGATGAGTACTTGAGTCTATTTTATGGTAACTTGGTTCTATGGGGAGGGAAGGAGAAGGGGAAGAGAAGGGAAAGGAGAGAGATAACCTCATAACGGAATTAAACTCCTACCTTTTCCCTCCGAAACTGAGAATACTCCAACATATTTTCTCTGATCTTTGAATGAATTCTAGGGCAGTCAAGGGACACAGGGTCATATCTAAGAAACACTGATCCAAAGAGAAACCTTAAAGAGAAATTCTTTATAAAAACATCATTAAAGTACCAAAAAGTCACAAGCTCATTGGTTTATCTTACTTCAGGTTATTTCTCAATTTTTACACTAAAGATAGAAATGTTCTACTTTCTGATCACACTTTCTAATACTTCAAAATAACTGAATTCTAAATGGAAAGTTCAGAAAAACTAGCAAATATGTCACTTGTTATGTTCTGCTTCACAGCCAATTAGGTCAGTCACAAACTTCATTTTTCTATTCTACTGAGAATTGTAGCAATATTTAATATGCATAGCAAAAATATTAGAAACAAGAAATTGGCTATGATTTTTCATTTCACTTTAGCCCTTGCTGGATTACAAGAGGATCCTCAAAAGATTTCTCTCTGTTCCTGACTTTCCTTTTGACCCTAAGGTCCTAAGAGGGATACACCTGTTTAGGTTGTTAGTTTACAAGGATGGATAGTAATAGAACAAGGCAGGGTGGTTAGATATTAGGAGGAAGTTTTTCTCACGGAGGATGGTGTCACACTAGAACGGGTTGCCCAAGGAGGTTGTGGATGCCCCATCCTTGGAGGAATTTGAGGCCAGGCTGGATGTGGCTCTGGGCAGCCTGGTCTGGTGGTTGGCGACCCTGCCCATGACAGAGGGGTTGAAACTCAAAGATAATCTTTGAGGTTCTTTTTAACCCAGGCCTTTCTATGATTCAATGATTTTATCTTCATGTCTGCCTTATGGACAGGTCACTAGCCTTCATTCTGTGAGCTTATTTCAGCTTATACCTTGCCAAACCAGACCTGGGAAGCATCCCCAGGTAAAAACATTCATAGGTGTACTTTTTTAGTTTGTTTGTTTTCATTGGAGGAGGGCTGTCTTTATGCAAGATAATTTCACAACTTCCGTTTAGAGTTGTGAATTCTGAATTAGAGCACTAATTCAGAAACAATTGAAGCAGCAGTGTTGACAGGCTGCTAACTTTGTGAGCAGGGACTGGAGCAAGAAGCAGTCAGAAATCTTTTCTGTCATAAAAGGATTTCTAGCAAAGAACTTTTCCTTGTCTTTCACTAGATTTGGTGTATACATATCTATACATTTTTATAGTTATCCATTTAACTATTTTTTAACAGATTTTAACTGTGACTTATCTTGTTTATACAGGCAAAGTTATGTATTAAAAGAGTTCTGCTCTCTCTGAAATACTTTGGCTAGGCCCTCTTCTTCTTTTGCTAACCATTATAATGAAGTGCTTGTTATTGCCATCCTTATGATGCCCTGTTACGAAACATTAGATAACAGACTTTTTTCCTTCCTTCCCCCTCTTCACGTTGGCTTCATGTAATTTTATTAGTCACCTAATAGTGAGCAATAAGGAGAAAATGAATGTGAAGGAATAGATGTACTTTATTTGGATGATAGAATCTTTTATTTCTAATACAAAGATATAAAGTATGTGTCCTTTCTCCTTCATGGGCCACAAAGATGATCAGGGGGCTGAAGCACACGCCCTACAAGGACAGAATGAGAGAGCTGGGGCTCTTCAGCCTGGGAAAGAGAAGGCTCCAGAGACCTTGTAACAACCTTCCAGTACCTGAAGGGGGCCTACAGGAAAGCTGGGGAGGGACTTCTAAGAAGGGCATGCAATGACACGAGGAATGAGGAAAAATGATTTTAAACTATAAGAGGGTAGGTTTGGACTAGATATTAGGAAGAAATTCTTCACTGTGAGGGTGGTGAGACACTGGAACAGGTTGCCCGTTGAGATCAGAAGTACATCTTATTTATCTACCATCTCTAAAAGCACAGTCAAAGCCTTTCAGAAAGTGCTCAATGTAGAGGTCAGAAAAAAAGACGCGATTAAACTGATTATAAGGATGGTTTATTTGACATTAATTCAGCATCAAGAAGCCGTAATGATACCCGAGACAGTTAAACTGACTTAATCAAGCTGTCACTCATAATGCACTTTGTTCATGTAATCTGAATCCAGAGGAACTGGGATTTGAACTTTGAATGCTGACCTCTTTTATTTTACTTCAGGAAGAATAAATATATTTAAAATACACTGAGTGAAATTGGGCCACTTACTGGCAAAATAAATGAGGTCTGTTCATTTTTATATCAGCTTTTGAGAGTCAGAAACGGATGAAGTCTAAATAATGATGAATAAGATATATTCCTTTGCATTTAATCTTGCAAATTGTACTGCTTAATGGAAAATGAGAATGTTGAAAATGACAAATTTGGGCTCCAAAGATCTCTTCACCAAACAGAGCATTCTCTGGGAAGCAGAACTAATGAAGATTTTATTGGGTCTTTCTGCTCAGTGAAGCCATCAGTCTTTACCACATGTGCAAGAATTGCCCTTCTCTGAGACTTCCTTTCTCAGATTGGATTGAAAGGAGCAGAACCAAAATCACTGAAAAAAGAGAGAAACAGAGACAAGGTAATCACAAACACCTGTTTTCTTGCCCTTTTTTTACTTGTAAGTGAGAGGTTGTAGAAATTGGCAGATTAAAAATCTGCATTATAAGTATATATAGTCTCCATTGTTTGATAATATGTTCTAAGCTCAGAGAGCTGGGCAATGAGCTAATCTATACAGCAGAAGCAGAATGTATCAGTAGAACGCTTCACTTCGGGTAAACAGCTTTAGTAGCAGTGAAGCTGTAGCAAAACTGTAACACTATAGTACTGATTTGGAGACCAAGACTAGTGTCTGCACGCAGTGCTGAGCTGAACTTTTTGATCTCATGAGGCAACAGCAGTTATTTCAAAAATTTCAGCACTGTGCTCTATAATGAAGTGTATAGGTGCACTGTTTCCTACAGTGTTATCTTTTTCAGTCACAGCGTGTGAAATCATCCTTGTTCATAAAAAAATTAGTAACTCTAAAAGTCTTCATATCCATTCACAGATTTTATGTATTAGACAAATATAAAAATTGCTAGTTAGGAAAAAAAAAATTTGGAACAGTAAAGATAAACAAGATGAAAATGTGTGTTTCTGAGCTGAGTAGGTCATCTCTGATCAAAACAGAGATAATGGGGAAATTATGGAGTAATAGGACGATTCAGATAAAGGATGGTTCTGAAAGTGTCTCTCAATAAATCAGGGGTTCCTTAACATTTATCTGTGGCTTTTAAATAAAGACCTCCATAAAGCTGTGAGACTTACAATGTTGAACTAGATCAGTAGACTTTCCAGCCCGATATCAAGGTGTTAACAGCTATTGGTCTAAATGAATCAGTATGAAATTTCCACACAAGTAAGATGTGATTTTTCAAATTTACAAATGGTGGGATTCATCTTGCCACACTTGATGTCTATTATGTCTATTTTTAGCTTTTAGCTTTTAGATTTATTTTTATCTGTTATGTTTAGGTAAAAGAGGTAAGTACCTTCGGAGGATGATCATCCCCACCACTTTTACCACCCTTACATATGTATTTAAAATAGAGTTCCATATATCACCATATATCCATATATGATTTTATGCAGGTCTCCTACTCTCTATTTACTTCAACACTTTTGATAGTCTTTCTTAGTAATGGTAAAATTCTTGAAGAGCATGTTCTGATCTTAGTGAATTTATTTTCTTTTGCCTGAAGGCTGAAAATTAATGTCTAGTCATTTTGTGGTACAATTCCATGTTTCTTTATTATCCATCTACCTTTTACATCTTATAAGCAATTTATCCAACTTCTTCCCTTAAAATCCAAGTGCTCAGTAAGATAAATTAAATCTGTGCTATGACTGTCTGGAGTGTTGGTCACTCCCTAGTTTTCAACTCTTTAGGTACTCACCTTTTTGATATGCTTGATTATTTTATTTCCTTACCTTCACTTACAGTTGGAAATCATTAGCAAACTGCTATGTCTCTATACTTTAAATCCAATCAGACTATGGTTCAGTGTAACCTTCTGTGGTTTCTCCTTATATTGATCCACTTTCCTTGAAAACACTAACTTTAATCCTTATGAATGTCATCACTGTTTATTGTTGCATTATGCTAGGAGAACTTATTTGTCTTCATAAGTTACGGATGAAGCAATACTACCCAATTTAGTTGGGTCCTCAATCCAATGATGGCTTTGAAGATCAATAAGAAAGCTTCCAAATTGTATTACATGGGAATTAGGATAGAACTTATCTTGCAAAGTACAGAAGATACATACTCTGGGGAATTCATGCTACTCAGTAGGTTAATGATGCCTTGTGTCAACATATGCTTTCTTTTATGAGATTTTTAACAATTTTTTTACTTCTTTTTTATCTTTTCTTCCCATAATAGGAAATAAAGGAGAAGCGTGGGCATTCAACTGACCTTGACTATTTTATTGATTATCTTATGCATCTCTATTCTAATAATTCTTTCTCAGCTTAGGTGTCTGTTTGTATACTTTTACTTCAGTTGAGGATCTGTCTATACTACTTGTTTTCTCTTGTCTAGTCACGCACTATTTTTAAATGTCACTTTCTGCCTGTAAATCTATCTACAGACACTTTTTTCAAATACAGTTTAATATATTGTCTGTATTGATATTCTGTGAAGAACAGGCATTACATTGATCTCTTCTCACTGACATCCATTTCTCCTGCCATAACAGAATTTCCATACATTTTCAGCTCCTCCTTTCAACATGCAATTCTTTCATCTTCATATCATGGCAGTATATTTTTATTTTAGGCTACATTCAATGGTCATTTTGCATTTTCTAATTTTTCCTAATCTCAGTGAAAACATTTAACAGGGAAAAATGTCATGCTTGCAGTTAAGATAGTCAAGAGTTGAAATCAATTCTTTCAGCTCAACAATAAGCTTTCTGTCAGCAATTTCATTAAGCACCTATATAGTATATAACAAAATTACATCCATCAGTGCTGTAAGAGAACAACAGAAGCAAGCAGTGCATAATGAAAGCTGTTATCTAGTAGAAAAATAGATCACCCATATTACCAGTCTCAAAGGATATTTGTACAGATTTTATAGTCTGGGGAGCAGTAGAAAGCTTCATCTCATTCTTCTATTATGTTCTGTTAACTGAAGAACTGAATTCTGCACTGGTGCAGCTTCACCTTGAGTTCTAGGTGCCATAGTGTAAGAAAGATACGAAACTATTAGAGAGCACCCAAAGGAAGGCTATGAAGATGTGAAAGGTCTGGAGGACAAGATGTATGAGGAGCGGCTGAAGCCCCTCGGTGTGCTCAGCGCAGAGCAGAGGAGCCGAGGTGAGGCCTGATGGCGGCTGCAGCTCCTCACAGGGAGCGGAGGGGCAGCGCTGAGCTCTGCTCTGTGTGACAGCGACAGGGCCCGAGGGAACGGCATGGAGCTGCGTCAGGGGAGGGCAGCTGGGGGTCAGGGAAAGGGGCTGCACCACAGGGCGGTGGGCGGGGAACGGGATGCACGGGGCTCGGCCCCGAGTGCCAGAGTTCTGGGGGTGCCTGATCAGTGCTCTCAGACATAGGGTTTGATCTCTGGTGGTCCTGTGTGGAGCCCAGAACTGCACTCAGTAATCCGATTAGCAACACAGGCTAAATACTGTAAATGGCAGAATAGTAGAAAAGATCAGAAATGTGTTGCCTAATCATGAAAATGCATGTGCATTCTCCTTTTCTTAGCATCTCCTTTGCTGCTAGTCCCCAGCAGCAAATAGTGCAGCAGTTTTGTGACAGTGCAGCAGGTGGTGCTCCAATAGCCCTCGTTTGGAGCAAGAGAACACTCCTTTCCAAAATTAGTCCTTAATGGTTAGCTGCTCTGCAGTCCTATGCTGCCTCAACAGCGGTCATTCTTGCCAATGAATCACATTCTAAACATTGAGCAAGCCACGATGAACGTGTATTTTTACTTAATAATTTTGTAAGGTGTATATTGCTAAAATTCTAGATGCCTTTGCAATTTTCACCAAATTAAAATGCATTTAATTGATAGTATCTCCTTCAGAATTCATTCTTCCACTCAAACAGAAAACAGTTGCATACAAATTTCTGCTTTGGGGAAAACATGTGATTTTATTAGCATTGCCTGAACATAGCATGACATCTCCTACAGGTCAGCATGTTCAGTGTGAGCAGCAGCAGGTTGCATTTGGGGTATGTAGGAGACTGCCAAAACTTTCTAGTTGCTCCTCAGTAACTGAACATGTTTATATATCTGAGATCTAACTGTATAGATACTAGGTGGAAAAAAAAAAATATATATATATATATATATATATATGTATGTATATAACAAAATTCTATGCAAGAGCAGTAGGAATTCCTAGGGAATATATTTTTTTAAATGTTCTTACATAGCTTTAGAAATAGCTAAGAGTAGATTGGAATCATCCAACTTATGGAAGAGACATACCAATAAGAGAAAAAATCCCATTTAAGAGCTACTAATGTAATTTGACAGACTGTGATATTCTTTGATCATCCCTTATTTAACCTGCTACAGAAAGAAAAGAGCATCTTTCAGCTGTCTTTTGAAATTGAGTCCACTTGTGCTCTCATGACTCCTACTTGCATGACAGTGCAGCAAGGGGCAAATCTTCTATGGGAGAGCAGGAGAGGAAGTGCAGGGGAAGGGGGAGGAAGAGAAGCAAACACAAAGGTCTCTGTGGCTGCTGGACAGACATTGTTGATGATTGCACACTCAATGACTTACACTGTGTGCAGTTACCATCAAAGAACTATCTGCAGTGTTGGAGATACCTACATACAGTTTCTGCAGAATTTTGTTGATAAACATCTCAAATATTCAAAATAAGCAGAGTCTTTGAAGAAACAAACTTCACTCTTCTCCATGCTCAATTGTTAATGAACTGTGTTTTAGAATTAGTCTTTTAGTTTGCACAAATCAATGGTATGCAGATTACAACTCTCCATCACTCTAAGGAGGCATTTAGCTGGGGCTATCAGCCGCAAGAATTATAGTGCATTAAGGATTTGTATGCATGACTTGTTTCTCATTTGTCTTTCCTTGCAAGCCTCCCATCACTGAGAACAGCTGTGCACTGAGCTGCAGAGATCAAGAAAGCCACTGTACTTATGACAGTGCTCTTCTTTTCTCTGTTGCCAAAAGAGAGGTCAGATGTAGTGTATCAATTTATACTATTGCATTCTATTATTCAAATATTTTGATATTTTTGGCTGCATTCTGAAAATAAATTCATCTGTCCAAACCCATTTTCTGTTGAGAAAGTTTAATAGCATTTTAATATTTGTTTTAAATTCACTGTATTTGAATTAGCTGCTAATGTGGCATGCTCTAACTCAAAAGCTTTCAGCAAGCACTAAAACATTTCCCTGTGAGGTTTCCCCATGGAGGAAAGCATGATAGGCATTTCTCTGTGGTAGACTCTCTAGGCCAGCCCTTCTCTATCATCCTATGCTAGTTTCAGGGGCTCTACAACACGCAATATTTAACACACCACTTGTTACGTCTAGCCACAGATTATGAAGCATTTCCTGATAATCAGCAAAGTTGGTCTGTCACAGTCATCATGGACATTTTGAAATGTTTATGAAGAAAAAGATCCTGTGGTCATCTAATTATATCTTCAACAGCATAAAATTCATGTAGTTTACTAAAATATAATTTCTTTTTTTAATTCCTGTAGCTGGTGTTGTAATAAAACTTAGCCTTTAGAGAACATCTGGTCTTGGTAGAGAGATCTTCAGTTCCAGCATACTTATGTTTTTTGATTAGTTCTGATTGCTAATTATTTTTACCCTGTGGCTCATTTACTCCACCATGCTAGTGGTCCATCACCTATGGACAAAGTCACTATGCCTCTAAATCTGAGATTTGTGCCTGTAAATAAAGGTGTTCTTACTAGCGGAGAGGTAAACAAGAACACCAAGATAAGTTTTATTGACAGATTAACTAGTAAACAATTGTTTTGGCATTTTAAATACATGGCTGGTTTGCCTCATTGTAGTTACATTCAGTCTCCACTTAAAAACAAGAAAATCCAATAGCAAATAAGAATTAAAATAGTCTACTCGTGTGTAAAGATAGTTAAAATTGAAAGGATCTATTTTGAATATGCAGGACATTAAGCTGTAAAAAATCCGAGTCTTTCTTTTTGAAGTATTTAAGCGCTGTAGGTGAAAGATAAATATAAATGTGAGCATTCGCAATAGAAACAAAAGTACCTTTATAAATAACTGTTCTCTCGTTCACACTGCTAAGATCAAAATTAAAACACAGCTCATGGCTCACAGCAAACATACTAGGGAGATTTGAAGGTAGAATGCTAGAAGTTTTGACACAAAGTCTTTGAGGTATCGAAAGTAACTCTTAAATTTGAAGCATTTAGAAAGCCTTTCTTGCCTTCCTAGAACAAACTAGTTAATGAGAATGTTAAAATATTACAAAAGGCTTACATGTGAAAATGTTACTGAAATGAGACAAACAATAACTCTAGATGAGAATAGCAATCTGAAATTAAGTGGAAGGATCAATAAACTAAAGAGAGCAGATTGAGAACATTGAATAGTTGGAGAAAGATGTCTCATTCAGTATATAAAAGGGAAAAAGAATATGTTAGTGTTTATTGTTCACTAAGGTCAGTGGAAATAATAAAACATAAAGCTTTACTATTAAAAAGCTGTTTTTAATTGATTGTAGAGCACGTTATAGTGCAGTCTTATGATCAGTGCAGTTGCCACCATTTCCCTAGATTTGAATGCGTAGCTTTCTAAGAATGGATAAAGGTGGCGGTGTAGTTGGAACAAAAAGTTGCCGACTACTGACAACTCATAGCTCTTTGACAACGAACCCTTGACCACAAATGTTGTTATGGCTGGAGGTAGTGGAACATCATGATCTAGGGCACTACCTGCTCCTGTTCACTTGGGAGGTAAAATGGAAAATGAAAGGAGCTGGAAAAAAAAGCATGGATGAGCAGTTACAGACCATGGAATTTAAATGATGCATGCGGCTCCCTACCATTTCCCTGTGCAACTGCTCTTGCAGCATGCTGGACCTGTGATTGTAGATCCTAGAGAGATTAAATTCTGGTAACTGCAGCTCCCACAACGCACAGAATCACACTATGTCAAGGATTGGAAGGGACCTCAAAGATCATCTAGTCCAATCCCTCCGCCTTAGCAGGAACGCCTTGATTAGGTCACACAGGAACGCATCCAGACAGGTTTTCAATGTCTCCAGAAAAGGAGACCCCACAACCTTCCGGGCAGCCCATTCCACTGCTCTGTCACCCTCACAGTAAAAAAGTTTTTTCTCATATTTTTGTGGAACCTCCTGTGTTCCAGCTTCACCCATTGCCCCTTGTCCTATCACTGCATGTCACTGAGAAGAGCCTGGCTCCATCCTCCTCACGAAGGATGGAGGATCCTCCTTTACACATTTATAAATGTTGTTGAGGTCACCCCTAAGTCTCCTCCAAACTGAAGAGGTCCAACTCCCTCAGCCTCATCTCGTAAGGGAGATGCTTCAGTCCATTAATCATTTCTGTGGCTCAACAACAAGGCCAAGCAGCTGCTGATGAAGGTAATGAGTTGGTTTCAGTGCTGGAAATTGAGTTTTAAGAATTTTGGAGGATGTTCTTACCCAGAGGTTTCAAAGGTATTCCAGAGAAAGTAAATGAGGTACTATGATAGTGGCACCCTCTCAAGGGTCCATAAAAGCCTGAGGTCTGGGAACAGGTGATTCACTGCCTGGCTGGGGTGATGACTCTAAAGGGGCAGGGGAGCAGCCACCTGCGGGCAGACAGGCTCTGACTCGGTCAAATGCTGCGTAAACAGCAAAGGGGGTAAAACTCTCAATGTTCTATTACATTTAGCTGAAAGAGTCTGGGGAGTAGAATCCACTACTGAACTTTTTCCATTCTGTCAGTACGTAGGGACAGGGTACACAGCCTTTTTCTATCACAATTGGGCAGCCTGCGTTCAAACACAAAAGGTTATGTAATTCATTCAGTCACTCTGTAAAAGGGTAATTCTTTGTAGCTAGGCTGTGCTTAGCTCACAGTGAGTCACTTTTAGGAGGAGAGATCACACACATTGTTAAAAATAAGCTTTAGAAGACAGCAGTTCTTTCATGCCAACTATGTCCTGTTTAGATCAGCGGATTAAACAACCCAAGGCTGTAAGTAAAAGTTTCTCAGTGAATCAAGAAAGAAAAGGGACAAGTTTCACTCCTAGGTTCCGAAAGGGAGTCATAGGATTGGCATTACCTCTTAAAAATTTAGGTTCTAAAAATCTTTAAGCGTTTTTACAGAAAAAAAAAGAGAAGTTTTCATTTTGCATCTGAATGACTAAAGACAGCATTTGCTTTGTAACTCCCTAAAAAGATAACGTAGCAAACAAAAGGCAAAGAGGCAACAATCAAATCAAATGTGAAATGACTCATCTTCAAATGAGAAAAGAAGCCAATTTCTGAACAGCATGGACTTATGGAAAATAAAATGTTTGCCTTTAATTTTTCAGGCCATCCTGCCATTATCATTCAGCAATCAGAAGCTGCAACATAGAGTGAGGTTGCTGTAACATGGCTATGAAAGCTCACAGTGCAACGGTTCTTTCCTCTGCTTGTGCTTGCTCTTTATTTCTGTTACCTAGTAAAACTAATTATTCCACTCTCTATATGATCCTTTACACATTTTTTGTTAGCTATGACCCTCAGTGCTACCTATGGCCACCTTATCTATCTTTGACAAATTCACATCTCTTAGATCTGTCACTCTCTGAATCAATTTTTTTTCTATTTACCTTTCTCAAACTGATTTGCTTTCTGCCTGAGTTACTCTATATCTTGTTACTTACTTTTTTATTTTTTTTCCTAGTGGAAAGATTTTCTGTTTGTCTGATTCACCCTTCTGTTTTCACTTCTCATTCTTTCTCATCGTCATTATTTTGTCAGTTTTTGTTTTCATCCTGTGATTTAACTCCTATCCTGACTGCACAGAGCAGCATCTTTTTAGTTAATTCATTTCCTATTGATTCTTAATCTTTCTTTCTCTTTCCTCTCCATGACTCAGCTTCTGTTTCCCATAGTTTGTGTTTTTATTGTATTCAAAGGTATTTTTTGCTTATTCAGCATCAACTACTGAAACTTTCAAAGGGAGTGAATACACATAGATGGCTCTGTGCTGAACAAGATGATGTCAGCTACACAGCTTCTGAAAGCAGATTTCATTCCACTGACTTGTCAATAGTTAGAAACAATAGAACAATTCAGTCTTTTATATCTGTAAGATATAGCTCCTGCATTTGTCTCCTGCTATTTATTTCAATTTTATTCCCCTTAGATCTTGCAATTACATGGGAAATTGACGTAGCTGTTTAAAACAAATACATTGCATGATTCTGCAAAAATAAACCCCAACCCATTTAATGACAGCCAATGATCATGGAATCACCTCTTTAAATTAATTAGTAAGTCAATAGCATTACAATTTGCAAAGCAATTATATTTACTTTCAGCTTTGTAGACATCTTTCAAACTTGCAGAAATGTGGATTATTTTCAAAGCAGCATGTCAGCATTGCAAGACTATAACTACTATATGAATGGAGCATGCTACTGCTTTAATCTCAGTTATTGAAAAAGTTGCAGTACTGCAAGTATCATTTAACACATGATAGATGTCCTCTTTCTCTCTTCTACTCGACCTCTTTGATCTTAGTAGAATTTCTTTCAGCTCTAGTATCCCATCTTACAGCACACCTTCCCACACAGTTCAATTTTCTGCATACTACCATGATGTATGACACTATAAGAGAGAGATGTGAAAGATATGTATGTTTCGTGTTGATTCACGATTGAATGTTTGAGTCTCAGTGGAAAATTTAAAAAAGATTCAGTTCCGGAATTTCAAGAAAGAATCGCAGCCAATGGTTTGATTTATTAGACAATTGAATGGAGCTTTCCAATTCAATTTCTCATTTAATACTTTTATTATAGTTTATTCATAGATTATTTCCTTTGGAGACAGTATTAGATCTTCTAGTCTGACTTTCATTATAGCACAGGCTATTAAACTTTACATAAATACTTTTATAGAGGCCAGTAACTCCTAAAGGAAATCTGAATCATCTTCCAAGAGATATTCACTACTGATTTTATAGCATCAACAATGAAAAACTCCATCTCCTCTGACAATTGTTCTTGTTGTTTGACAGACTCACTGTTAACAAAATAGCAAAATAGATATGTGCCCAATTTTTTATTTTGAATATTTGTTGTTTTCGCTTGTTCCCCCTGGGAAGCCTTTAATGCTTAGTACAGCTTCCTTTTGAATGTACTTATACATTCTTATTAGGACACCTTCTATTTGATAAGTGAAAGTTAGACATAGCTCTCAGGACTTACTTTAGTACTGGGTTATTTCTGATGAACAATCTCCAACTTAATTCTTAACCCATGTTAACAATCATGTTGGAAGTCTCTGTCAGATATTCTGTGTATTTACTCAGTGGCTCGATACATAAGGACTTATGTATATATACTTCACATTCTTTGTGTTGCTATAATTTCTTTTTGCATCCAGGCACAAACATAAGTGTAGCAGTGGCTAGAATGTTCCTGAGACTAACTGACCAAAGGAAAAATTCCAACCTTCATCCTATGTAGGTGAGTGATACAAGTGAACATAAAAATCTAATTTGAGGGCACCAGTACAAAATCTCGTTTGCGAGATTACATGAATATATATATATATATATCTTGTTCAAAGGCACCAACAATCTGATTGACAGAATAACACCACAGAAGAAGAAAGTCAAGGCCATTGACGCAGTGATGCAACAATGATGTCTGGTACAGTGAAATATTTTCTTCAAACTTGAAGTCACTTTTGTGCTTCTTCTCCCCTTTTCTTTCAACTGTCTTACAAAGTGTTGAAAGCACAACTGCACACACCAGGAATTTTGTGTAGAGAGGGAAAATTGCCTCCATATTCCCTCTATATAGCTCTCGATTTTAAACACCATAAAAACTTTTTATAGCAGATAAAACAAGGAAGTAATATGCCTTCCCTACTAAAACCTCCCATTGTTTTCCAGGATCCAGATTCTGTCCTGTTAATTAAAGTCTACCATCTTATTCCTCATCCTTGTCCTTCTGACAGTTTGTGTGTTTTGATGAGCTCGGCATCCTCCCTTGCAATCCGGAATACTGTGTTTAGTTGATTAGAGTTTGTTTGTTTGATTGATTGACGTTTGCATTCATTGCCTCTTCGGACCACTCACAAATGTTAACACCACTGATTTTTTAATTTTTTATTTTATTTTTATTTATTTCTACTAGTAGACTTAATGAAGAACACAGAGCTGATGAAAATGAAGTTAAGAACTAGGACTACTCTCTAGAGACATTTCCTAAAAATGCTATCATCAGTAATAACTCCTTGCTGATAAGTACTTTTGAGACCTGTAAGACAGTTCTTAATCCATTTAAGGATGTACTTCACTGATACTGCAAATCCTTATACTTTTATCAACATGTCATGTATAGCAGATCAAATGCTTTGCAGAAATATCCTACATATTGCCTTCAACAGTAACTGTAAAAAATAAATAAATAAAGCCTGTTTTTCATAAAAATTTTACTAAGCTTAATTATAAATGATATTAATATTGTGTATTAATTATAAATCTTCCATTTTATACTTTATCAAAAGAACTTTTACAATTTGTCCACCATTTTGCCAAGAACTGGTGTTACCTAGCACATCTCTTTTGACCTGCTCATCCCTCTTGACTTCTTGGATATTCACAAAATACCAGTATGATTTTCATCTTCAGAATTATCCATATGCAAAGAGGAATTCAGACCTGACATTTGCAAGAGACAGTCCTAAAAGTCACTGATTTTAGGACTCTGGGGTGTGAGCTATCTGGGCTTGTCAGCAAGACATTTTCTCAAGATAATATGTCATTTAAAGTCCACATTAGCTACTAATGGTGCAATTAATCTCACCTAAATTCTTCTAAAATTAGTTGTCTAAGTTACCTAGGATCCCCTCAATCGAGAAAGAAAGATAAGATCCTGCATAGACCTAACTGATTCCATCTATCCTGATATAACTTGAAGATAATCAGATAAATTTAAATATGTACCTGTAACATATTTCTATAAATACATAAATATTGATAATAATAGGTAAAAAAAAAAACATTACATAGATACATATCTTGTAACACTTTCTGTAAAGAGAATTCTGAGGAATCCTAAAACAAGTGTGAGGGTGAGACCAAACAAACACCAGTCATGCTTTTAAGGACTATTGTCTTGATGTCTGCTAAAGAAAACCAGGCATGTTCCATGAGATCCAGACAAGGGGTCACATAACTTACAGTGCGTACAAAATCAAACATGTACAGACATCTTCCAGCCCAGAAGGCCAACTGTATCCTGGGTTGTATCAAAAGAAACATGACCAGCAGGTCAAAGGAGGTAATTCTGCTCTTGTGAGACCCCACCTGAAGTACTGCATCCAGTTCAGGGGTCCCCAACACAAGAAGGATGTGGAGCTGTTGGAGCAGGTCCAGAGGAAGGCCACGAAGATGATCAGAGAGGGCTGGAGCACCTCCCCTATGACGACAGGCTGAGCGTGCTGGGGCTCTTCAGCCTGGAGAAAAGAAGACTCTAGGGGCACCTTGTATGGAAGTGGCCTTCCAGTACCTGAAGAGGACCTACAGGAAAGCTGGGGAGAGATTTTTCATAACGGCATGTAGGGTAAGGGGAAATGGTTTTTAAAGAGCGGGGGTAGATTTAGACAAGATATTAGGAAGAAATTATTTACGGTGAGGGTGCTGAGACACTGGAACAGTTTGCCCAGAAAGGAAGGTGGATGCCCCTTCCCTGGAAGCATTCAATGCCAGGCTGGATGGGACTTTGAGCCACCTGGTCTGTGGGAGGTATCCCTGCCTATAGCAGAGGACACTTGGAACTAGATGATCTTGCCCAAATGATTCTATGATTCTGTGAATTATAGAAGCTGTTCCTGACTTCATGGTGGGAGCCTTCTTTAGTAGCTGTGTGTGATCACCTGCTTCAAAACTAAGCACGCAGAACTGAGCTCAGTGGTGATCTGCTGATCTGCACTGCAACTGCAAGAGGTGTTTATTATAGTGTGCAGACCTGATTCTTTCCTGTGGTCCGATTGTAATTTAGATGCTGCAGATGGTAAATAATATGGACAGTATAGCCAGTTATGTTTTTCCTGAAAATGTGAGGGAAATTTGTCACATACTGACTGCAGGTCATGTTCAGATATCCAAAAAAGGAATGCAATGAGAGATTACTGAAAATGAAGTGAGGCAATAACCTGTCCAGAAATGAAAAGAGAGCAGTAGAAACAACAATTCAAAAGGATCATAATCATTGTTTATCCAACTCTAAGAAAGGAATAATTCCTTGCCAGTTAGAATCATGATTCAATTAGGTTCTAATCTACAGACAGAGAATGCCTTCTGTGGCCAGTTAGGAAATACAGACCAAGTTCTTGAAGGCATGGATATTGACATGAAGTTAGGGGATCAAAAAAACATGAGCAATTTAGAGTGTTTGGGAAACAAAATGAAAACAGAGTCCAAGCCCATGAGTACTTGCAAAATTTATAATAAGAAGCAGAGGGATATAAATTGTGGGAATGTGATGCAATCACAGAAGGGTTATGGATAACAGCTGTGTTATGAGATTTCCGGGAAAAGGACACTAGTATGGAAAGGAGCTGACACTTCCCAGAAGAGGGAGTGACCTAAACCAAAAATTAAGTGAGGCACAGGCTGTTGTTCAGATTATACTATAAAATAAAAGGAAACATCATAAAGATTGCATCCAAAAAAATCAACTGAAAAATAAATTATCAGTAAAACTGGACATGGTACAAATCAGTTAAAGTGGAATTAGATGCCACTCAGCTTAAAGCTACAGCAAAGGAACAAGAGGCCTCAGCAGGAAAGCTTGTGAAGTTGCAATAATTGACTGTATGTACGTTGTCTCTTGAGTCCAAACTAAATTAAATTTTTATGATATTTTTGTTGAATTTAGTCTGGTTAGACCAATGATTTTCACTTTTAAGCACTTCAGAGTATTTCCACAAGTGCTTTAGTTAGAAATAGTCTGAAAAAAAAGGAGCTCTGTGATATAATCACAGTGATGTTGACGTGAATCTTCATTCTTCAACTCCTAAAACAATACCTTGTATTTTGTTAATTAGGATGAAATTTTTCAGAATCTCAGCTATGATAAACAAGTATTTACTCCCATTTGTGTTGGCCTGTATTACATATGTTGCTCGACTGGCTCTACTAACGATGATGCTAAATCCATCCAGTTTAAAAAATCCATGTGTTTCTTGTGTAAACTTCTGAAACTTTACTCTATCTCCTATTTCCCACTACCGTTCCTGTTTGTGACTATTATCTGTTTATTTATTCATTCACAATCACTCTCTAACTATTCACCTACACTTCCAGCAAAGTTATTCTGCAACGTCTCTAACCAGTGATCAGTTAAAAGCTCATGGTTGCCTTCAGCTATCAACTGCTTACAGCTGCCTTTGTTGTGTCGTTCTGTTGTTTGTTTTTTTTTTCCAGTTCTCTTCAAGGCAAAGTCTCAAGAAACATAACAATGGACCACAGTGGTTGCTCTTACAGTATGTGAGTATGGTAGACAGCTTCTCATCCCATTTCTTATTGCTGGCTTTTATTAATTTTCAGAGAGCTCTGTTGGTCATTCTGCTGGTACATTCCGTTTGTCCAGAACTTTGGCGTGCATGACACATTATATAATTGCATTGCAGTTAACTGTGTGATGGCTCTTTTCATGAGAACAGCTTCCATCCGCTTTGTAAGTGGGCCAAAAGTAATTAAATGGTATTAGTTCCCCCAAGCGGTGATCCAAATGGGTCCTGTGTAATCAGCCTGCACCCTGCCTCCCCAAAAAATACCTTTACTGCAGCTGGATTTGTCTTGGATTTATTAGAGCATTTACAATAGCTGATGCTAGTCAGGCATGCAGCTATTTTCTGTACCTTGGCAACCATCACACCGTAATAACTCCATCTAACATTAGAGGATAAGCTTATTCATGTACAGATCAAGTCAGTGTACCAGAGCTCATCCTCACAGACCATCTTCTTCTGCTCATATTACTTCCTTTTATTAGAATAATACCAACTCCTGTTTTAGAAGAGAGTCTAAGAACCCATAAGTCCAGCTTTCCAAAGACACTGTGGAAAGTCAAGTCGTTCAAATTTGGAGTGGAAAGATACATATGTTTCAAATTAACTCAAGTAACAATTCCATTAAATTTCTTAATTATTCAACTGGAATATATGCTGAGCAAAACCTGTTCAAGCAATGGACTGAGAAATATTTGAAAGTGAAAGGGAGAGGTAGCATTTTAAGTACTTTGTTAGGAAATTTAAGTGAAGTGAACGGAACACTGAATACTGTAGACCTTGAATACTTTGGGGATGAATTATCACTGATGGGCAGTGATGTGATTAAAGCATTTCTAAAGAGAAATGAAAGGCTACAGATTTCGGTACACAGCCAAGGAGAATTATTGCTCCTTGGAAAAGCTGTGTTTTCATTAGCTTCAAGTGCTATACTAATTGCAGATGAATGTTGTTGCAGTATTATTACATCCATGCACTTTGCTGATATTAAAATACATTATTTCAGGGAATAATAGAAGCAAAAATAAACTAATGCAGTACTGAAAAGTCCACCACCCTAAACTGTTATCAGAAGATGGAAAATCATCAAGTGTATCTTTACAACATAGTAGTCTATGTGGAGCTGTATTGCAGATATATGTTAAGGATCACACATACACCAACGACCTTTGGAATGGCAAAATTCATACTTCGTCAAAAACAGGTGTTCCTCAGGAAGGAGCTGGGTGGGTAGTTTCAGAAAGGTATTGTGATGGCATTTTTGCTGTAGAGAAATGGAAACACTCATTATAAAGAGTTATTCTGGTCCAAAAGTCAACTGGTATAGATCTTAAAAAAGATGTACTGCAGTATCTTCAGAGTAAGACAGCATTGTAAAGTTGAAATTCACATTCTACAGTAAGTTTTCTGTTCAGTACTTATGTTTCAGGTGTACAAGCAAACATCATTCTGGAATCATAATAAGTGAAAATTACACATAAACCTTCCAAGTAGATGACAACTACTACTGTAACAGAAACAATGGGAGCAGAATGGAAAAAAATGTAAAAGAAAGCTTTTTCTTGTGAATTTGTAGTGAAGCAATCAGTGATAGTCTCAGCAAATCAAGAAGAAAATTGAAAATCATTAGCAAGAAATTACAGTATGGGCATCAGAGGTGAAGATGAGACAGTAATTCTTGGTGGGACAGGCAATTCTGGTAAGTGTATCATTTCATTCATTACTGAGCCACTAGCAACGCTGTTGTATACATACTAGTAATTTGTTACATTTATTATCTCAAGATTACTTTCAACAAGGTACAGAAAAGTCAATACTTTATGATGTAAATATAGAATGCTTCTTGAACAGGACAGTGATTATAGGAAGCCTAGAGAGTAAACAGGTTCAACTGCACTCTTACAGTGATTGTGATTTGAACAGGTCACCATGAAGGAGAGAATTATTGCAGCCTGAAGAGAAGCTAATAAATCTGAGCACGTACCAGTAACATTTCTAAAATACACAGATATTAATGATACATGGGTGACAAAGTACTATATCTATGTAAAAACACTTTCCTGAGAACAGTGCTGCATACAGAGAATTTTCAGGAATTCCTTTCTTCATTTACCACTGAATGAAAAATGTCAAGCAACACTTACCTGACTTCTTACTTGACTATGGAATCAATCTGTTAATAGGTTCACTTCACAAATATGAGGATTTCTTTTTTTCCCTAGCCCAGCATATCATGTCACACAAGTTTTCTCAAATTTAGAAATACATCTGCTATTTAACAAATGCACATAAACTAAATAACATATAATGCTGAATGGCACTGTCCATAGTTGGTTCATCGTAAACATACTAACACTTCCAGTCCCAAGGTAACCATAAACTCCAAGCCCAGAGATAACTCACTTTATTGTAACTGCCCCATTGGAGTTCAAAATAGACCTGTGATGAAGGAATTAACTTGTCCTGACTTTATTGGATCAGACACTGGATTTCACTGCAATCCTAGTTAACATTAGCTACTGCCTGTAAACAGACTGCAGGTCAGGGACCAGCTTGCTCTCTCATCTCAGCAAAGCGAAGCTCCCTCAAAGGAGCTGCCTGAAATGTATCACAGCTGCTGTGAGAGGTTGCTGAGCTGCCAGAAACCTCACTCAGAGGAACAAAGGCCTGGATGAGAAATTGCTGCCTGGAATAATATTAGGGTAAGAATAGTAATGCTTCACACTTCTGAATGGCCTTCACTTTTGGGTCTGAAGTTAATAGGAAAGAGAAAGAAAAGCCTTTTGAGGCATATCATTCCATCTGATGTTGTTCCTTTGAGTTTAGTGGGAGGAGTGTAAAATGTTGGCAGCTCAGAGATCAAAGACCTACAAGCATAAACTGTGAAAGGCAGGGCCGAAGTGCAGCAAGTCAGACATACTGAAGATAGACACAGAAATGACTTGCTAAATTATTTAACAGTATGAGTAATGTTTTGTCTTCATGCTGCCGCTTTTTATGGCATCTAAATCAATTTGTTTCCCTAAATAGATTCTGGTGCTTTTCTGCAGTAACTGGAGATTACTTCCACCTCTTTAGCTCTATCAGTAAAAAATGAAATTAGCTTTATCACTTCACTGTAATTTTTTAGCAAATTACATAATTAAGAAACAATATCTTGGTTGAAAATATGAAATGGCAAAAGCTATGTTCATGACTATGAGGCAGTGCAGAATCACCTAGAATTCTGTACCTTTAAAATAGCCTGGGTTATTCCTTTTTCCCCTATAGTCTTATATAGGGTTTTTATTATCCACGGAATAATGAAATAACTGAGTAGAGTCAGCTGTAACTTGCTTCACTGAAAACCGGTGTCCACAACAACTGTGTTTTCCCAGCACACTTAGGAGTGTGTTTTTACACCATAAGATGCACTGTTTGTATATATAAGATTGGACTTCTTTCTTCTTCCTACAGAGGTCTCTAGGACCCTTATGCACATCAGTACCACTGAGAACTTTGACAGAAGAGCTGCAGTCTGCCAAAGGACTTGACAGTAATCTCTGCCTCAGAGCCATCTCTTCTTCCAGAGTCTGTCCCCCTCAGAGAAGAGCTGGCAGAGTGAGGTATGTGCACATACTCCAACTCCTCTGGAGCAAATGCTTAAACTGCCAAGATGGGCTTGAGCTGTGGCATCAAGCTGCAAAGCAAAGGAACTGAAGAATGCTTGCTTCAGCCAGCTTCACAGCAGGATGACAACCTTTGGTAGTCTGAATAAGCCAGGAGGTGTATAGTGCCATCAATAACTGCCTTAGCCAGATATTGCCTACATTCCTTCTAAGGCTACATTACAATACTGAAGTTACAGACAGCTACCTATATGAGTGCACAGCTCCCTAAAATGCATGAGAATGCCCTGAACTGGGTCCAGATGCAATTTGCCTATCATTAGAAAAGGCATAACCAAGAGATCCTGCTGAAGGCTTTCAGAAGGAAAGAGAAGGCCCTGAGTACTGCTAATGCAGGGCTGCTGTGGTTCCAGCACACAGCTGATGTTCATGCATGGTGAGCATGCTGCCTTCCTATTGAGTGCATTAGTGTCAGTGCACTGCACTAGCACGCACACTTTTGCAGAGCAGCTGTACAGAACACATGCAATAGCTGATGCCATGCATTAATTGTACAGGCTGTCAGACACTTGGAAAAGCAACCAGAATGAAAATATGGGGACAAAGACTGTATTCTATCTCATTTTAGGGGACATAGTCTGTAGTCTGAAAGGATTATACAAACCCTTCATAGGCTGGACCCTGAAATTCACCAAGGCCCCAATGAAAATCATTCTCCTTGTATCTCAAAAGTGAATGGGTGAATCATCTGACCCACGGACACTGATTCACATGTGGCTGGGAGAAGAGATGCAGAGAAACCTCTTTTTACAGCATCCCTCCTGCTTCTGGTAACTTGCTATAGATATAAAGCACGTATCAAAAAGTGTGATGGCAACTAACAGTGATGAAAACCCTGGAATGACTTGCATGCACAAGGGAAGGACCAGTGCTGCCTTGCTGTGGTGATGCGAAGAATACAGACCTGAGCAGGAACAGCTCTTTTGGCACGTGTATTTCAGGTGTCTGTAAGTGTGAGATAACACTTACTCCACAATTACACCTGAAATATGCATCTCTTGGGTCTTCCCAATAATAAAACAAGATTAGTATGGAATCATATCTTTGTGATACCACACATGCAAATTCTCTTACTTCAACCAGTATGTGTTTGGATCCTCACAAATTAATGAATATGATAGTAACATCCCTAATGGTTTTCCCTTAGATCAACTAACACGCTTTTAGTGCATCTTTGTTAAAGCAACACAATATTCTTGTACATACAGAGCAGTATTTTTTCAATTGGCAAGACCATTTTAGACACCAGACATGTGAATATACATTTCCATTTGAAACACATTGAAACACTCTTACAGAGGTTATAAAATACCACAAGCTCTCTTAGAACTTACATGTCAGCAGTGTAATTAAAAATGTGATGCATCAGCTTTTAGAGTAGTTTCCCAGAACCAGAAAAAAAAAAAAAGATAATAATAGAAATGCAGAGAACAGCTTGAAACACAGCTGAATTTATTTTAGAATAGGACCCTCATGCAAGACTGAGCTCAGATTGTGTTAATGCTGCTGGCATTTGCCAGAAGGTTACTGTGATGGCTTGTTCACATGGAAAATTAAGGCAATAAAAGGTAAGATGTTATTCTAAAATGCTATAATGGCATTAATACAAATTCATATGTGAGCACCCTTATCTCATTATAGAAAGTTATTTTTTTCTAGTTTTAGCAGTAATTTCTTCAGCACTTATTTCAAACCAGAAAATCCTCTCTCGCATTGGAATATGCATATATATATCCAGCTATGTTGACACAGCCATGGTTTTACCTTCAAAGTTTCCTGAGAAAACTTTTAGAATGGAAAGTAGTTGTCATTGCTATTATCTTTAATTTTTCTGATGTAATTGTGCCTTCAGAAAGAGCATATTAGGCGACATCCACCTACATTTCCAATCAACAAATCTGCGGAGTTTTCTATACTGCACCTGCTGTTTTTATCGGTACTCTCAGCTAAAATTCAAGTACAAGTGGTTGGTTGTTTGGGGTTTTTTGTTGTTTCGAAAGTCACAGCTTTTAGTATCGCTGAGATTAATGTAATATGCAAGTTCTTGAATAACCCTCTCTCTAATGAACTATTGTACTAGCTTATTCTTCTTCCTAGTCAATGATCCTGGGCAATAGGTATGTAAAAATGTTACAGAATCACAGAATGGCCAGAGTTGGAAGGGACCTCAAGGATCATGAATCTCCAACCCCCTGCCACATGCAGGGCCAACAACCTCCCCATTTAATACTAGACCAGGCTGCCCAGGGCCCCATCCAGCCTGGCCTTGAGCACCTCCAGGAATGGGGCATCCACAACCTCTCTGTGCAGCCTGTTCCAGCACCTCACCACTCTCATATTAAAGAACTTCCCCCTGGCATCCAACCTAAACCTCCCCTCCCTCAACTTAAAACCATTTCCCCTTGTCCTGCTGTTATCTACCCTTGTAAAGAGTTGACTCCCCTTCTGTTTGTGGGCTCCCTTTAGGTACTGGAAGGCTGCAATGAGGTCACCCTGCAGCCTTCTCTTCTCCAGGCTGAACAAGCCCAGCTCCCTCAGCCTGTCTTCACAGGGGAGGTGCTCCAGCCCCCTGATCATCTTTGTGGCTCTGCTCTGGACCCTCTCCAACAGCTCTCTGTCTTTCTCGTACTGGGGGCTCCAGACCTGGACACAGTACTGCAGATGGAGTCTCCCAGGAGCAGAGTGGAGGGGGACAATCACCTCCCTGTCCCTGCTGGCCACCCCTCTTGTGATGGAGCCCAGGATACCATTTGCCTTCCAAGCTGCAAGAGCACACTGCTGGCTCATGTTAAGCTTTTCATCCATCAGGACCCCCAGGTCCTTCTCTGCAGAGCTGTCTACATATGACAGATGAACGATGACATACAGCAAGGCAAATAAGTGTCCTTTGATGGTCTGTTCTGAAAGGCCGGTGTTCAAAAACAGGACCTCTTCTGTATTTATCCCTCTCATCTTTCACAACCCAGATATATAAAACACATTACTCACCCTACTAAGTGTTTCTAATTTTCTGTATGTTACTGTTACAAATGTAACAGGCGAAACCGTAAAAAAAATAAAAGTGCACTGTTACCATTTCATAAACATACAAGTCACAAAATGCTGTCATCATTATTCCTAGCTCATATCAGGTCCTCTTTGCTTTTAAAATCCTGCCTATTACTCTCATAGCTGAACAACTTCCACTTGAAAGCACTGTTCCCAGCAGCGAAGACCTCAGGGCATTTCATGCAGTATCTGGTCTCCCTCAGGTCTCAAGATATATACCTGCACTTCAGTTCTTAGTTTATTCCTTATCTTAGCCTTTTATTACTACCATTGTTTTGACTACAAAGCTGAGGCCTGGCTTAGGCAGGATGTAGCAGTAAGCATGTGAACAGGTTTTCTCAGGAAGAAATACTACGTGTGATCCTCAGGTCATGCAACCTCATAGCACTGTGTGCTTTGTCTTCTGATTTGCAAGCTCCACCAGTCCACAGGAGACCAGCTGTCTTAGTAGCTCACAGCCTGAAATTCAGCCTTTAACATTGTTTGGCCTTGTTTTTTTCAGTCGCTTCAAGATTTAGTTCTGATGTCTTCAATGAATATGAGAAATACCCTGGGACTGTCTGAAGGAATTAGACAGCAAACTCAACACAGAAGTCTACGTCTAACACCACTGAGGAAGCAAGCCATTACGTGTCAAACCTGGAGGATGGCAAGCTCGACTCACACATCTCAGGAAATCAATGAATTGTAATGGTGACAGGTCTGCCGTGTGTTACAACATGCTGCAGCCAGGACCCACTGGGTAGGCGCCCGCAAAGAATATTTCACCCTTCTATTCTTCACATTCACTGCTCAACGTCCTTTTCTGATTGACTGTTTTACTTCCCTGGCTTGGGTGGGTGTTGAGTTGGGTGGGGGGAAAATGGAATGAAATGCACCAAGGGCAAGCTAGAGACTTGTGTCTAGGCCAGAGCAATGCCAGGTACCAGTATAGGTTGGGGACTGACCTGTTGGAGAGCAGCGTAGGGGAAAGGGACCCGTGGGTCCTGGTGGACAGCAGGGTGACCACGAGCCAGCGCTGTGCCCTTGCGGCCAAGAAGGCCAGTGGCACCCTGGGACCTACTAGAAGGGGCATGGTTAGTAGGTCAAAAGAGGTTCTCCTGCTTCTCTACTGTGCCCTGGTGAGACCGCATCTGGAGTATTGTGTCCAGTTCTGGGCCCCTCTGTTCAAGAAGGACAGGGAACTGCTTGAGAGAGTCCAGCACAGAGCCACAAAGATGAGGAAGGGACCAGAGCATTTCCCTTACGAGGAAAGTCGGAGGGAGCTTTGGCTTGGAGGAGACTGAGAGGTGACCTACTGAACGCTTACAAATATGTCAAGGATGTCTGTCAGGAGGATGGAGCCAGGCTTTTCTCAGTGACATCCAGTGACAGGATAAGGGCAATGGGTACAAGCTGGAACAGAAGAGGTTCCACATTAATGCTAGAAAGAAACTTCTTCATGGTGAGGGTCACAGAATACTGGAACGGGCTGCCAGAGAGGTGGTGGGGTCTCCCTCTCTGGAGACATTCAAAACCTGCCTGGACGCATTCCTGTGTGACCTAACCTAGGTGTTCCCAGCAGGGGGATTAGATTAGATGAGCTTTTGAGGTTTCTTCCAATCCCTGACATTTGGTGACTCTGTGATTCTGTGACTGGTATGGAGAAGAGACAGCAGCTATTAAAATGAAGACTTGGTTAAAAAAAAAAAAAAGAGTACTATTTATTTATTAATTAATTTATTTATGTATTTTTAATAAATAATACAATTTTTAAGCTCATCTTCCCTTTCTCTTTTCTCTTTTTTCTCTTTTCTCTTTTTCTTTCTCTTCTCTTCCTTTTCTCTTTTCGGTTCGCTCTTCTATCGGCTCCACCGTTGTAGACAAAACTCTCTTATTCTCCTCCACATCTCACTAGAAAAAGGAAAGTCACAAATTGTGACTAAGAAATTGTTGTGTTTCCTCCCGGGAAGCATTCCTCCTTACTTCCTCTGACAGAGGCAAGCTACAACTGGGGCTGCACCAACAGCAAAGGCAGGAGTGCTGATACCTGTCTGTGGGCCCAAGCAGCCGGGAGAAGTTGTCAATCATGACCTCTTTGTGGCAGCGGGTGAGGATGACCACCGCCTGGCACAGGAAGGGCATGAACGTGCTCTGCTGCGCGGATGATGTGCAGCTGCGCAGGATGTGGAGGATTGGTAGCACCTGAAAGAAGAAGGGCAGAAAGAATGACTTGCTGCGTCCTGGACTCTGCAGGGCCTAACGATGGACATTCAGCACATGAGCAGTGCCTGCTCCCTTGACATGCTGCCAAGGCCTAAGCCTAAATTGCATGCCAGCCACCCTGTCCAAGCCCTGGCTCTGCCCTCAGGCTGTGCTTCTTTAGCACAGGAGGCAAATGGCACAAGGTGTAGTGCAACAGCCAGCAAAAGTCCAAGAGAGGTGGAAGAAAGTCTCTTACGTCCCGACAGATGTCCTTCCCGTACATCTGCAGAAAGGTGATCATCCACTTCCCAGCTGCACGCACGCGCATTCCCCTGGCTTTCCGCAAGGTGTCCTTGATGGCCATCAGGAAGTCAACGGTGCGTTCCAGGGGGAAGTTTCTGCACACCATCTACAGAGAAAAGAGAAGAGGAGAGATCTCATCACTGCTCTGCGGCAGCTCTTCAAAACAGAAAGCAGTCTTAGGGCGTTCTTAGTTCAGCAGCTTGCCGGTCATTCAGGGGCCATCACAGCGCTCCTGCTCTCCTACCCTGCTCTTTATACGGAAGGCGGTTGAGCCTTCTCTCAGCTGCTCCACCCATGGTTTCTGCTTACATGCAAAGCCTACCTAGCAGCCACAGTCACACACACACACAGACACACCATGGAATCAGCTCCTTGCATGGGGGGCCTGAAGGGCAGACGTAGCTCAGAGCCTCCTGCTACTTGCTGAGAAAAGCGGTCTCAGGGTGACAGCTCATTTTGGAAATGGTAGGAAAGGCTGGGGACAGCCTAGGGTCGTGCAGAAGCCTATGCACTGAGATCCCACCACCCCTTTTTGGGTCCACTTACCCTTGCCAGTTTGGATGAGGTCTGGAGCTGAGTGATGGAGCTGCAGTCATTCAGCCCCTCACACAGGCTCCCAGCGTCTCCTGTCTCGATGACTCTGTTGGCCGCCTTGGCTGGAAAGAGCATGGGAGAAAAGGGAAGTCATGCTTCTGAAAACAGAACTGCTTTCCATGGGGGAGAGACTGAGGACAGGGTGGGGACAAGAAGAGAGCTGTGCACAGTGCATCTCCCTCCTGTACACAGGGCCCAGCCCGTGGGGCTCTGGTAGTGCTGCGGAGGAGAGCACAGGGCTGGTGCATCCCGCTCTACTCACCTTGGATTTGCAGAAGGGAGCTCAGGCAGGTGGCGGCCAACTGGCGGGATGTGGGCATGGGGTCACATGTCAGCGGAGCCAGCAATCCCACCAAGGAGCCAAAGGACTCACAGGCATCTCCTCTCTGCAGGAATGAGACGCAGGAACAAAGCTGTAGGCAGCCCCAGCTCTCCCCAGCTTCTCCTGCCCGTGCCTTCCCCATGCCAGCATGCACAGCTGGGCAGAGCTCGCCTTCCAGCTCAGGGGCACTGGGGAGGGAGCAGGGAGCATGCAGTGGGGCTCTTTACTCACCGGAAGCTCTTCACAAGCAGCCAGCAGCTGGGAGCAGGTCTGCAGGGCCCTGTTGCGCTCCCACATGTTGTTTGAGGTCAGTGATCTCTGCAGGACCTGAAGCAGAGCATGTCTCACCATGGACATTTTTCCCTTCCTGCCACCCCTCTCCCTGTCCCTCTTTTCCCAACAGTTTCCCTCAGGTCCTGCCCTGTGGCTCCACGTGGACCCCTGCCTCACTGTGCGCTGACACTGCTGCTCCCATTTTCTGCAGATACTGCTGCCTCCTAACCCAGGAGCTTTTCTTCGGCTCTGCCCTGCAAGGGGCTGGCTCCTGCCTTTCCCCCTGCAGAGCCCATTTCTCTGCCCATTTCTCAGCTCGCAGTGAGCTGGCCTGTTAGCAGGAGATTTCTCCCCCTTCGATCACACTGTCAGTCCCCAGCTCTCTGTCCCTGCTATCAACGGGCACCATGCTTCCTCCCTTGCCCCACACGTACTCACCTGGACTATGTTCTGGAAGAATCCCCGGGTGGTCTCTGTCTCAAGCAGGACCACCATGAGCCGGCCCAGAGCGTTCAACGATGTCTGCAGAAGCTGAAAGCAGGAGAGGGGATTGAGGTGTGGCATCACGGCTGCTGCTGGAGCATAGGCCGTGTGTGCTGAGGTAGGGCTCTGACGCAGAGGTGGCCGGGAAAGTTACGGCAGGTTACCTGCAGGTACTGTGCTGCTTGCCGTGACTTCTTGATCTTCAGCATCATCTCTGCTGAAGGGTGTGACACAATGTTCTTGCAGCACAGAGCCAACATTTCACGTGCATCCTTGCTTCCTAAAGAGGGCTTCAGCTTGCTGACAGGAGGAAAAAAGGAAGAGAAAGCAGAAAGGGCCTTTACCACTGCTCTCCAGACTGGTTCAGACAATGTCTGAAGCTTCGGAAGCTACCCTAAAGGGGGACCACCATCTGCCTTGCAAGCCTAGAGGCTCCCACCCTTACCTCAACTGCTCCAGGGCCAGAATCACCTTGAGGGGCACTGGGGAGACAGGGGTGCCCAAGTAATACTTCTTCAGCAAGTCCTGCAAGTACCAGAGAAACATTGTCAAAGTGGGCAAGGGCCACGAGAGAGCTCTTCTGCCTGGCCCACAGACAGAAACAACTGCCACACACCAGCCCCATCGTTCCCACATTTCCCATGCAAGCACTGCAGGATGCAGCAGCTCCACAGCTGGTGGGGCCCTTGGGTGCTGGCAGGCAGCAGCAGGCAGCGGGCTAGGTCCACCAGCTGTGGAGCTGCTGCATCCTGCAGTGCTTGCATGGGAAAT